CTCTGAGCAAGTATATCGGACCGACACAAAACGCCGATATGAGCTTGCCAAAAATGAATAGGGCACTCCCAACAAGTATGTGTGTCCCTCCCGAAAAGTAGATAGGACACTACCAACGTAGACAGGACCCCCCCCCCCCCAACACGTAGATCGAACCCCTTCCAAACAGTTTATATGAGTTTGCCAAGAAAGGAGGACCCTCCCAACAAATAGATCTGACCCTGCCAAATAGAATATACGTAGGACACTAGCGCAAGTAGACAGGCCCCTCCCAACAAGTATATCGGACTCACCCCAAACGCCGATATGAGCCTGTCAAAACTAGATAGGACCCTCCCAAAAACCTCGACATGACCCTCTCGAAAAATATATAGAACGCCACCGAAATTAGACAGACCATTCCAACACGTATATCGGACCCACACAACACGTATATGAGCTGGCCAAAAGTAGACAGGACCCTCCCCGCACGTAGATATGGCCCTCCCAAAAATAGATAGGACGCCACCAAGAGTAGATAGGACCCTCCCAACACGTATACCGGGCCAGCCAAAAAGTCGATATGAGCTTGCCCAAAGTAGATAAGACCCCCCCCATCAGGTAGATCGGGCCCTCCCACAACGCAGATATGGCATTACCAAAAGTAGATAGGGCGTTCCCAAACAAGTATATCGGTCCCACCCAAAACGTCGACATGAGCCTGCCAGAAGTAGATAGGACCGTCTTGACACGTATATATTGCCCTTCCAACAAGTTGATAGGACGCTGTCAGATAGATAGGACCCCCCCCAAACAAAAAAACAAGTATACAGGACCCACCCCAAAAGCCGATATGAGCTTGCCAGAAGTAGATGAGACCCCCCCTGACAAGTAGGATACTGCACGCCCAATAAGCCGATATGATATTGCCAGAAATAAGTTGGACCCCCCCCCCACCAGTTATACCGGGCCAACCCAAAAAAAGATACGAGCTTGCCAGAAGTAGATCTGACAATCCCAACAAGCAGGCTTGTTCCTCCCAGAAAGTATATACGACACCACCAAAAGTAGATAGGTCACCCCGACGAAAGGTCAGTTTCACAATCGTCATCTTCGCCGTCGTCGTCGGCATCGTTTCCATCGCCAGCATCGACGGCATCATGGCCATTCGCAGCATCATCAGTATCTGTCGTCGTTATCCTCATCCGCAGCATGAGCATCGCCGTCATAATCGTCGTCTGTCTCCTCAAGGACGACGGCGACGACGACGAATGGGAATACGTTGGCGGTATCGGGTAAGATGTGTCGTGTGGGGGTGCGTACACTGATATGAACGTCGGGCGCATGCGACCTACCATATCCTTAACATCGCGCCTGGTTCTTGAATCCCCAGGGGAACGGCGGCACGCCCTAAGAGAGTTGAGAGCGAGGGATGGGCTCCCACGGGTGGCTCCAGGCCCCAAGCGTCAGTGGCAGAGTCCGCATGCCCACCCCGCCCCTCTCTCCGTTCTCCCCTCACCCCTCCCCGCCCATTTCGACGCACTCCTCGCGCGTTGCGTGGAGCCCACCGCGGGCGCCAGTGGCGCTGTTCGCATGCCCCCCCCCCCCCCCCCCCTCCAGCCCATTTCGGCGCGCCCCTTCACGCGCGCTTCGCGGCCCCATGCGGTGCGTCGCCTGGGGCTCCGTCGGCGCATCCTCACGCTGCATACACCCTTGCTGCAGACATCCTCGCTTCAAGCGGGATGATGCCGCCCCGCGCCGACGCGCAAAGCCAGGTGCCGTGCGCGGCGCCTCCCGCCGACGCGCTTGGCCATGAGCCGCCCGCGGGGGCGCCTGACCGCCGCCCGCCCGCGGTCCGACGGCCGCCGCGCGTGGCCCCACCCGTGCGGTTCCCCATCAAGCACGCGGCCCCGCCGCCTGATCATTGCCCAGGCCCTGCCGCCAGCCTGCAGACAAGCAAGGCCAGCGGGCCGCCGCCCAAGTTGCAGCCGAAGCCGCCCGCGTTCCCCCCGCCTTTGGCGCGGCCTCCCACCGACGAGCAGGGCGATATGCAGCGCATGCCCCCCCCCCGCCTGTGCGAGAGCCGCCGCGCCAGGTCTCCCCTCGCACCGACGGGCCGCAGCGCTTTTCGCCACCGCCTGGGTGGCGGCCAGGATGCAGCCTTGCGCCGGCAGTCATCTTGGCGCCGACAGAAAACAAAGCGCGCGGGGCGCAACCCGAGCCCGAGCGCCCGAGGTTGCCGCGCGACGATCGGCCCAGCGTCAGCCTGCAGACCGCCAAGGCGCTCGGGGCGCCCGAGGCGGTGGCCGAGATGGCGGAGGCGCCCACTGCGCCGCAGGCGGCCGAGGTGGCGGAGGCGCCCAAGGCGGCAGCAGGCGGCGGCGCCGCGGATGCAGGCGGTGCGCCGCCGTTGGTGGCCGAGGTGGCGGAGGCGCCCGAGGCGGCCGCGCCGTCGGTGGCCGGTGTGGCGGACGCGCCCGAGGCGGCCGCAGGCCATGAGCCACCGCCTTGGTGGACCGACACGTGCGCCGAGTTGGTCGGCCTGCGCGGCGAGGACTGCGAGCGCGTCATGGAGCACTGGAGGCCGAGCCTTTATCATTGGCACAAGCTGCACGTCGCGGTCGCGGCAGCCGCCCCGAGCGCGGAGGCGGGGCGGGCTCTCATGGATGCGATCGCGGACGAGATGCAAGAGCGTTTCACCGCCGACGCCTGCCAGGCCATTCTTCCAATAATAATTACAATGTAATTATTCTTTGATGAAAGAACAAAAAGCCTGCCCTATAGGCTGAGCAGGAGCTAGTCCGCCTGTGCCGCGGCGACAGCTGATGCGGATGGAGCGCGGAACAGAGGATGAGGAGATGATGGGGATGCTTGGTGAGGGTGAGGATGGGCCCTCCTCCCCCCCCCCCGCCCCGCGGCCCTAATGGCAGGGTTCGCATGCGCCCCGCCCCCCGCCCCAGCAAGCAGATATGACTCCCCCCCCCAAAGTAAATAGATAGGACACGGGCACAAGTGCATAGGTCCCCCCCAACAAGTAGATCGAACCCACTTAGAAAGTCGATATGAACTTGCCAGAAAGAGACAGCACCCCCCAACAAGTAGATATGACCCTCCCAGCAAGCAGGTAGGACACGACCAAAAAGTAGATATGACCCTCCCAACACGTATGTCAGGCCCACACAAAAAAGCCGATAGGAGCTGGGCAAAACTAGATATGACCCTCCCAGCAAGTCGATAGGGCACCCCAAAAAGTACATAGGGCAATCCCAACAAGTAGGCAGGACAATCCCATCACGTACATCGGTCCCGCCCAGAAAGCCGACATGAGTTTGACACAAGTAAGTAGGGCCTCCTGAACAAGTGTATATGACCATCCCAAGAAGTATAGGGCGATACCACAAGTAGACAGGATAACCCCAACAAGTATATCTGACCCACCCAAAAAGTCGTTGTGAGCTCGCCACAAGCAGATGGGACAATCCCAATAAGCAGCTCTGACCTTCCCGCAAGATAGATAGGACACGTATATCTGGCCAACTCAAAAAACCTTGTGTCGCTCGCCAAAAGTAGATAGGGTGGTCTCAACAAGTATATACGATTCTCCCCAACAAATAGATGGGGCACTGCCACAAGTAGATATGCCCCTCCTAACAAGTACACCGGGCCAACCCAAAAATGGATGAGCTTGACAAGCGTAGATAGGGCCATCCCAACAACGAGATAAGGCCCTCCCAAACAGTAGATAGGGCACGACCAAAGAGTAGATCGGACCCTGCCAGTAAGTTTATCGGACCCACACAAGAAGTCGATAGGTGCTTGCCACAAGTAGGTAGACCCTCTCAGCAAGGAGATGAGGACCCCACCCCCCGAGAAGTAGATAGAACACGGCTAACATTATATAGCACCCGTAACAACTAGATCTTACCCACAGAAGATGCCAGTATGAGCCTGCCACGAATACATAGGACCCTCCCAACAAGTAGATACGCCCCCCCCCCCTTCAAAACATGTAGACAGGGCACTACCAAACGTAGATAGGACTCTCCCAACAAGTATGTCGGACCCACCAACAAGCCGATATGAGCTAACCAAAAGCAGTCTGGACCTTCCCAACAAGTAGGTATGACCTTCCCAGCAGGTAGGTAAGATAGTACTACACATATATAGGAGCCTCCCAGCAAGTACATCGGACCCGCACAAAGCATAGTATGGTCTTGCGAAAAGATATGGCCTCCGAACAAGTAGACATGACGCCCACAAGAAGTACATGTGACATGACCACAAAATAGATCTGACCATCCCAGCAAGTAGATATTGCCCTACCAAGAGTAGATCGGAGCCCACCAGCAAGTACCCATGGCCTTCCCAACGCGTAGATAGGACAGGACCTACCACTAGTATACAGGGCCCTACAACAAATAGATAGGATTCCCCGAACACGTGGGCACGACCTTTCCAAAAGTAGATAGGACTTGCCAACTGGTAGATGCGACTCTCTGACAGAGTAGATACGGCGCTGCCACAAGTAAATCGGGCCCTCCAAACAAGTATGTAGGACCCCCAAAAAGTAGATCAGATAGGGCCCTCCCAACAAGTAGATAGGACGGGGGGGCCCGAAGATTGCCCCGAGAAGACCCCCTGCTCATCAAGGGGCCCCGCTATGGAAGTGTCTGGTGGGGGCCTCTGGGGGCCACCGCTGGCCCTCCCAGGCGTTCCTGTTGGCGCCTCTAGGGGGCCCCGTGGAGCGCAGCGCATGCAGCGTTTGCGTGTTTGGCGAGTCGCCGGGCCGCCTTGGGCCCTCCTGGAGCTCTGAGGCTCTGCCAATTTTGAGCTGGAGCTTCTGCCGAAGCCTCGCTGGAGGTTCGAATTCAAGATAGGGCAGCCCCCAAGGTTTTCAAAGAGTCGCCCTCCTGTCATAAATAACAATCGTTTACAATGTGTGGGGTTTTGACACTTTCAATTTTCGAGGGCCCACAACTAAGCCACATGTTTTCCGCCTCGGAGCCCCTGAGGACCAGCGCATGTTCAACCCAGACAACTCTACGGACTTGGTGGGTATTGCCACCGTGGGCGACGAGTGCGCGCGCGTCAGGTGCGTGCACTTCATCCGCGACAATCTCGCCGGCATGAGCGTGAAGGGCGTGGCCAAACTCATGGAGAAGGAGGCCGACGCGGGAGCAAGCATGATCGAGTCCTGCGACGCGTCCTCGGCGGCGGGGTCTGGCGGTCGAGCGCCAATGCCAGCGCAGTTGGCGGCTTGCGCTCACATGTCTATCGGCCACGAGCTGTACATCAAGGCTTCTGGCCTCGCCCATGCACAAACAGCGAGTACCAGCGCACGCCGAAAGCTCTGGGCTTGAGGTGATACAACTTCCCCCCCCGAGGTGGCCCCCTGCAGATTTACCCCGTTGTGCGCGCGGAGGCATTCAAGGCCAAGTACCCCACGCTGAAGATCTACAACTTCCGGAGCACCGACAGGACGGAGGAGTACCCCCCAGCGGCCGCTCAGGTCAAGTTCAATGGGGGATGCATGAGGCCACGGGTCAAACCCCAGAGGATGAGGGGTACAACAGCAACGCGCTCGGGCTCGTCAGCGCCATCCCGACCCACGAGGACATCAAGAAGCGCGCCGACAAGATCATCGAGAAGTCCAAGAGCCGCTGGGGCAGCAGAGCCTCCAAGGATGGAGTGGAAGTGGATGCAGGCGGCGACGGGGATGAGTTCGAGGGCGAGGAAACGCTGCCTGATGAGCGCCTCGCAATCGAAGATGGCCGAAGCGAAGGTGACTCTGTAAGTTCCGCCGCTGCATGCGGGCCAGGCGGGCCAGATGCGAGAGGCTCCGCCTGCAAGAGGGCTCTCAGCGCGTCTGGGGCCGACGCCGCCATGGAGACGCCTTGCAAGAGGGGCGCCCCGCAGAGCCTCGCGCCCTCGCCTGTCACGAATCCTCATCAGCTCGGGACCCCCGATTATTGGATGCACGAACTACCTTTGACAATGGCATTCAACGGAGAGAAGAACGGCAAAGCAGAGTCCAACGCGAGGATCCTGCTCAACAAGATGAAGAAGGAGGAGAGGGGCGCTTTGTCAAAGCACTTTGAGCTTGTTGAATCCGCGAAGCACGCGAGGACGTGCGGCTGGCCCGATGTCGCTAAGACCTGGCAAGTCTCCCAGAAGAAGGGCGCGACTCCGACTACATCGTTGGCCAAGTCCTCGCTGGATCGTCGGACTCGTCACGTCTGGGCCGAGGTCGAGAAGAAGGCGGAGACCGTGGACGCGGGCGGCCACCTGGACGAGTTCCTCAACATTCACGAAGCCCTGGGGGGCGCCCTCGACGAGCCAGTCCAAGATGGATGCGCCGTTGTTGTTCACAGACGGCGGGTCGCCGAGTTGCGTCGCGAAGGCTTTCACCAACAGTGTGTTCACCCAGGGTATCTGCGCGTGGATCGCGCTGGGAACTGCTAAGGAGTCGTTCGTTCACGAGTTCTGCAACAGGGCGGGCAATTTATGGGATGACCTCAGCGATGACGCGATCTTGCCCGAGGAATGCGCCAACGTACTTCTGGAGGGCAGCGTAGCCGTGCGAATCGTCCGCAGCCTGCAGACGACCACCATCACCAATGACACTGACTTGAGTGCGTTCAAAGAGCACGAAGAGCTCGAGACGCAATCGCTACGCACGGCAGGTCCCCCCTCGCCTTTGCAGGTGCTGGGTCAAGTAATGTTCTCGCACTCTGTTGTGCATTGGTCTAACCAATACAACCGCATGAAGGCTTTGGCGCAGAGCATGGTCGACCACGGGGAGGCAGTCCAGAGGGCCTTGCGCGGACTCGACCGCATCAGGACCACCCAGGGGGGGGGGGGGGGGGCTGACCGAGTCGAGCGTCAAAATGTTGATTACGATGTGCGAGCAAGTGCCGTACTGGGAGTCGGTGATCAGTCCTGCCTCGTGCGAGCTCGTCAGGGATCAGCTCATCAAGACGGCCGTGGAGAAAGCTCAACAGGTCACCGATGCCTCGGGCAAGCGCGCTCTGAAGGCGGCGCCGCCAGCGCCCGAGGACGACGCCAGGACCATGGTGCTGCACAGCCTGAAGGCCTTGTTCGTGAAGGTGAAGATCCGCGCCCCCACCTCTGACTCTGCGTATAGGGTCGCCGTCCCAGTCCAGGGCGCCATTGAAACCATGGGCTCGGATGTTAAGGTGAACATGCTTGTGGAGGCGATGGCGTCTTGGAATGGTGAGGGGCCTGAGCCCACGCACCGCCTGCGCGACAACTTCGACGCGTGCAGGGCGGCTAGCTTGATGGATAAGGTGCATGCGAGCGCCGAAGAGCTGATGGACAAGATCGCGGTTGAAATAATGTCTGACAAAGGTTTCGGCAAGAGCAGCACCTCGACCCACTATGAAGCCCTCGACCTCGTGGCAGGCCGTGTCCTGTCGAGGTTCGCGCGAATGCCAAGAAGGTGGCTGCTCGGTCGAAGGTAATTTGGAGACTTTCCTGCACGACGCGGAGCGTGGAAGCGAAGACCCCAGAGCCCGCAGCAGGCGCAGAGAAGCAGCCGCCGGGCAACGCTGAGATTGACAAATGCGCGCGCGAGATCACGCAGGCGCTGCAGCGCACCCAGCAGGCGAAGGTGAACGCTACGCCCATCCAGCCGCACTCCGAGGACTTCATGCAGACGGCGGATGGCATATGCGAGGCTGCGCAGGCCTTGGCGACAAAGCTGGGCAACCAGGTGAAGGACCACATCGCCCATGAGCTCGACACTTCGGCGACCGCGCTGCAGGTTGAGTCCGACGGCGGCGAGTGGGCCAAGGAGTGGACCGCAATGGAGGCTGCTGCCGACACCGTCGCTGAGCTGTTGAAGATCGCACCGCATAGTCGCGCCTCTTCGTTGGCGGGGACGTGGGGGGAGAAGCGCGACCGCCTGGGCGAGAGCCTCGCGTGCCTGATCCAGAAGATTTCCGATTTCAGGCCTGAGGCGGCAGACGCCGCCGCTGCCAACGTAAAGCCGCCCGTGGAAAAGTTGCGGCTGCTGACTGTCAGCCACGAGGTCCTCGGGCATTGCGCCGACCAGACCGTAGCGAGGGAGAATGTGATGTTCCGCAGCAAGATGTTGGAAGTTCAGGCCGAGCTGAAGGACTGGACGGTGCGCCCTGAGGACATGCACCGCGCCCTCGTGCAGGAGTACAGGTCGGGCTCAATGTGATGTAAGGAGCAGCGTTCACGCGCCCACCTCTCGGTCTTGCCCCGCTCGGCGTCGCCGTTCGCGGCGGGGCACCCCCCTGTCCTCCCCATGTCTCTTCCTGTGGGCTTGCGCGTTCAAGGCATGGTCCTAGGTGCAAGCTTTCTTGTGATATGAATAGCGTGTTGCCCGCATGCCACATGATTCCGAGGCGCCTCGGGGGGTCCTCTTGAGGCCTCGGGGATCTTCTTGGAGGCCTCTTGGGGGTCTCTTGGGGGTCTCTCGGGAGCCTCTTGGACGCCTCTTGGGGCCGTCTGGGCGCATATTGGGGCCATCTTGGGGAACGTCGATCAAACAGGAGGAGAGACTTAATTAGTGTCCCCCCTCGGAAGCTCCAGAAATCTACTCTTCGGGTCCCTCTTGGGACGCAATTGGAGCGCTCTTGGGCGCTCTTGGGGCCGTCGTGGTGATCTCTTGGGCCCCTCTTGGGGCTCTCTTGGGCCATTTTGGAGCCATCTTGAGACCTCGGATGGCCATCGGAAGCGACACGGCGAGACAGCACAACCCATTGGTTTTACTTAGGTTGTTGAAGGATGTTTGTCTCTTGGAGGCCTCCTTGGAAAGCTATCTGGCTTCTGGAACCGTCGTGGGGCGGTCTTGGGGCATCTTGGAGCATCTTCGGAGACACCTTGTGGCATCTTCGGCTATCTTGAGCCATCTTGGAGCGCATCTTGGGCTCTCCGAGGCGCTCTTGGAGCCTTGGGCCATCCTGGACGTTCTGCCGACCAGCGCCCCCCCCCCGTCCAGGTCCAGGGGGGGGGGGTAGGGGGAGGGGTAAACCCATCCCCGAATTGGGGGAAGGAGGGGTGGAAGAGGAAACTCCCTGAACCACATACGCCCAGAGAGCTGGTGGGATTGGTTGCCCCATGAGTCCCATGAGCTGCGCGCCCCTCCGAGACCAGAGCACCAAATAGCTCGTGACTTCCATCGCCAGGTCCATGCCTGTTTTTTCCAACATCAGTGCGGGTGCAGTTCGATGAGGTTGAGGATTGTGGCCGCATGCGCACACGGAACTTGAACAAATCACAGCTTGGCCGACGACCGAATTCGACGGGAGCAGACCCGCGTCGAGATGCCGATGCCGCTTCGCGGATGGACGTGGGAGGGCGTGACGAGCGGGGGTGGGGGTGCGGAGCAGAGGCCAGCGGGCGAGGACGTGGTGGCTAGGGGTGGGGAGAGTTGGATGAAGGAGGATGGCCATCTGGATGAGGAGGGGGGGCGGGCGGCGTCAGGGGACCAAGCGAGCGCTGCGATCATCGGCAGTGTGGCCGCGGTGTTGAGATACGAGCTGCGTGATGGAGTGGATGGCGGATGGGCTTGGATATGTATCCAGGTCGGGCAGAGGAGTTATTGGAGCCCGTTCGGTGCCTTATGAGGGCTTGTGGAGCTTCCTGGGGCGGCTTCCCTCGATGTATTTTCAACGCTCCTGTATGCTGCTTCCCCCCTCGTGCCGTCTTTGCGTTGGGGTCAAGAGGGGCCCCATCAGTTTGAACACATATTTTGTGGTCCCCTGGGAGCTCCCTGGGCGTTCCTTGTGGCCTTTGGGCGGTTTCCCGGACTCTCCTGGGGAGGGGGGCCTGGCACCTCTTGGTTTTCACAATGGGGTTCTCGCCTTGGCGCCGCGGACATTCGTCGTAAAGTATGCAACATTTACACATATGGACGGCGGCTTGTTTTCAAAATGGGGCTCTCGCCTTGGCGCCGTGGACAATCGTCTTAGAAGGTTTGCAGGGGTTACAGGGATGGAGGGCAGGTCGTTTTCAAAATGAGGCACTCGCCTTGGCTCCGCGGACAATCGCCTTAAAAGTTTTCAGCAATCACAGGGGTGGAGAGGGGGTCGTTTTCAATATGGTGGTCTCGCCGTGGCGCCGCGCGCACTCGTGTATCTCAAGATATGTAGTTGTTCGGATGATACGAACGCGCAGTGGCTTATCAACCCAAATCGACTCTATGTGTTAAAATTTCTGCACGCGCACAGTTCATCATCAATGTCAGGCCCATTGGGCGCCTGTCAGGCCAATGAGGCGCATGTATTTCAGTGGCGCGCGTCCAGGTGTGAAAGGGAATACTTGTAATGATTTATGAGGAGGGGGCATTGGGATGAAAACAAGCGCGCGCGAGCGTAGATATCAGGACGCGCGATCGCATCGAATGCACAAGGCTTCTGCCGTGGAGACTGCGCTTGCCATCGTGGTTTTTTTTTTCTGCTGTTGCATTCTTCGGGACAGTGTAACTTCCGCTTGGATGATCATGGCGGTGCGGTTTCGGACGCAAATCTGCGTATCCAAGTTCAGCAGCAAGTTTGAAAAACGATAAAGCATTTTTTGATTGATTTATCAACGACCCGCATACATGTTTAAAACATACTTCACATGAGTATCTTTTGAAGATAAAACTCCGTTTCCTCATTCCACAGAGTGTAGCGGTTCTGTCACAATATGATCCCAGGCCACATTTTGAATGCCCGGAGCCAACCGTAGGCCACTTCGTGATCTCCGTGTTCCCAGAACACAATTCCTGTACCATATTTTGATTGCCCGGAGCCAACTGTGGGCCACTTCGTGATCTTCGTGTTCCCAGAACACAAGTCCTGTGCCATATTTTGAATGCCCGAGCTGAGGCAGGCTGAGGCCGAGGCACGCTGAGGCCGAGGCAGGCTGAGGCTGAGGCACGCCGAGGCAGGCTGAGGCTGAGGCTGAGGCTGAGGCAGGCTGAGGCTGAGGCAGGCTGAGGCTGAGGCTGACGCAGGCTGAGGCCGAGGCAGGCTGAGGCTGAGGCTGAGGCAGGCTGAGGCTGAGGCAGGCTCAGACTGAGGCTGAGGCAGGCTGAGGCTGAGGCTGAGGCTGAGGCTGATGCAGGCTGAGGCTGAGAGGCTGACGCTGAGGCTGAGGCAGGCTGAGGCTGAGGCTGAGGCCGAGGCAGCTGAGCTCAGGCTGAGGCAAGCCGAGGCAGGCTGAGGCTGAGGCTGAGGCTGAGGCTGAGGCTGTGGCTGAGGCTGAGGCTGAAGCAAGCTGCGGCTGAGGCAGGCTGAGGCTGAGGCTGATGCAGGCTGAGGCTGGGGCAGGCTGAGGCTGAGGCTGAGGCAGGCTGAGGCTGAGGCTGAGGCCGAGGCAGGCTGAGGCTGAGGCCGAGGCAACCCGAGGCAGGCTGAGGCTGAGGCTGAGGCTGATGCTGAGGCAAGCTGAGGCTGAGACAGGCTGAGGCTGAAACTGAGGCAGGCTGAGGCTGAGGCAGGCTGAGGCTGAGGCCGACCCAGGCTCGGGCCGAGACAGGGTGAGGCTGAGACTGATGCTGAGGCTGAGGATGAGGCCGAGGCAGGCCGAAGCTGAGACAGAGTGAGGCTGAAGGGGGGGGAGGGGGGGAAGGGGGGGGGGGAGGGGAGGCTGACGCAGGCTGAGGCCGAGGCAGGCTGAGGCTGAGGCTGAGGCTGAGGCTGAGGCAAGCCGAGGCAGGCTGAGGCTGAGGCTGAGGCTGAGGCTGAGGCTGAGGCTGAGGCAGGCTGAGACTGAGGCAGGCTGAGGCTGAGGCTGACGCAGGCTGAGGCCGAGGCAGGCTGAGGCTGAGGCAGGCTGAGGCCGAGGCAGGCTGAGGCTGAGGCTGAGGCTGAGGCCGAGGCAGGCTGAGGCTGAGGCTGAAACTGAGGCAGGCTGAGGCATCCGTAGGAATCCATAGGAATCCCTAGGAATCCTTAGGAATCCGTAGGCATCCCTAGGAATCCGTAGGCAGAGTTCAGCATCCTCAGGAATCCTTAGGAATCCTTAGCATTCCTCAGGAATCCTTGGGAATCCCTAGGAATCCTCAGGAATCAGGATTCCTAAGGTTTCCTAAGGATTCCTATGGATGCCTAAGGATGCCTCAGGAATCCCAAGGAATCCTTAGGATTCCATTGGATCCTAAAGACCGTTGCCACTGCGACTGTCATTGCGAATGCGACTGCGACTGCGAGAACAGCAGAATTCTACAACTGGATTATCACCTGAATCTTAAGGGGAATGCTTCCAGATATGCTTATACACATCGCTGTTAGGTTGCTTTGCCGGGATAATTGTTGTTTAATGGTTTCTATATATATGTGTGTGTGCACATAAATGTAACAAAGAAAACGCCTTGGACGAGGAGGGCGGGGAGCATCGCTGTCGGTATTTGTTTGTTCCCCCAGGATGGAGGACCACGGCATGATGGTAATTGGCAGTGTATTCGCACTCTTCTCCCGGGGCTGCGGGCTTGAAAGTTTTGACCGTCGCCCTCCGCTTTTCTGCCACCGGCAAGAGAGGCTCGTTGCGCCAGGGCAACTTCGCAGGAAGCGCGTGGCTGATGTACGTCGCCGCCCTCCCCGCGGTCTCTCGGACGTTTTGCGGAACCAAGCCCTCTGCCGTTCGGCACGTCATGTGGCCCACGGAAGCTTCTCGTACCCCCCATCACCCCGTGGGCCCACGCAAGCCCTGGGGCACCTCAGGAAGCTCAAATCTCGACGACGAATATGAACCAACATTTCTTACATCGAGGTCTCTGACCCTTACGTGTACATTGTGATGGTGTTCCGGTTCCCAGTCACCGAAGCCGCCTTCACGTTCCCGCCGTTCCCATTCTCGGCGGTTCGGGTTTCTTTTCCCCCTTTGCCTCCGCGGCCGCCTTCTCCACCTGTCTCAGAGTGCCTGGTGCCTGGCGCGGCCCGCCCGCATTGCAGACGCGCTTGCGACCGCCAGCGCTGCCGACAAACAACACTTGCTGTGATGTTGTGCCCCGCGCTGCCCGGCCTGCACCTGCGCCTCCACCATCTGTGGTCACCTCTCCGCGCTCGGTTCCCGCGTTTCTGCCTCGCACGGCTCGCGGGCTCTCTTCACCGAGCGCGTTCCACTTCTCGCAAAGTGCCCACTCGCAAACGTCAGAAAACACATGTCTGCTTTGATGTAAGTGATCGTAGATCCCCCGCGGGGGGTCCAGGCCATATGCGAGTAGTTACTTTGCGAATCGTGGAACGCGCTCGTCTATCTCTGGGTCGCATAAACTTTCGGAGGTCCGCGCGCCAGTGAGGAGGGATCAGCGCCGATCCAAGAAATCCGCGAAGATCGTCGAAAGCTTGTGCTTACGCAGCTGTCTGTGTCGGCTTCTAGTCTCTGGTCACCTCTCCGCACATGGCTCCCGCGCTTCTGCCTTGCACGGCTCGCGAGATCCCTGGGGTGAGCACAGCTATTGCTCGAGGCTCTGGACGCTCGCCTACCTGGGACGAGGGACCGGCGATCTTCGGGGGTTGCTAAAGGGGCCCTGTCCCAAGGTGCCTCCAGCTTTTCGCTTCATTTTGGAGCCCATGCGGGCCCCCTGGGCCTCTTGATTGGTGCTCTGGAGGCCGCGGGGGCCCCTTGGGCCACGGGCATTTCTAGCAACACTGGGGCGCGAAGCGGAGAAGCCGCGGAGAAGGGACGAGGAGGAGGGGAGGCGGGAGGCGGAGGGAGGACGAGGCGCGGGAGCGACGCGGGGACGGGGGGTGGCGCGCGAGGTTCATTCCGTTTTGCGCATTGCGCGCAAGGCGATGTGGCAGAATTGGATGCCGAAACTGGCCAACCACCTCCCGTCGCGATTCTTCCACGACGCGAGGAGGCCAGGGGAATGGAAGCAGCTCGACGATAGGCCCGAGGATCGAAGCCCTCTGGAAGCGCGCCTGGTCCTCGTTGGCGGCGCGAACCAGGGGTCGAGGGATGGGGGAGTTCCTGGGCGCGCACCAGGGGATGCTTGGAAGGAGGCTGCGCTTCAGTGCACCCTTGTGTCCCAGTGGCATGACCGCCCACTATGGTGTAAGTTGAACGGGGGGCATACATTGTCAACCCCATCGTGCCCTCTGGTTTCGAAGCTGTGTAGTCCGCTATGTGCGGAACTTTGGACAGTCATGCACAGCGCCATGTTGGTGGCGGAATTCGGGATGTGCACGCCTGAGCAAAGATTAGGGAAGACACGACAGCCTGCATCGGATGGAACAGATCGCTGAGGCATCTGACCGCGCCCCCAGCCCACTGAAGAGATACGAGTGGGATCCATCGGGCCCCAGGCGCAGCGGCGGCAGGAAAGCTTGTGGGAGTCTCTTCAGCCCTTTCCACGGTCCAGCTTGACCTTAAGGGATCTTCGAATTGTATCCCCATGGCAGCATTGCCCCACGGCAGGAAGCGTATGTCATGTCCTCGAGTGGCACACCCAGGTGGTACACCAGGCCGCTGGTCACGACAATGGAGTTAAGGCGTCCATAAGCCATATCACGTCAAGCTTCTCCGTCGTTTTGCCAATTCCTCCCGCGTCCCCTCGAATTCCAGCATCGCGAAAATGTTTCAACATCGCGAATAATCACAACCGAAGCCCTCGGCCCCATCTTTCTGCCACATTTTTGTTCGACCGGATCGACCTGCAATGGTCCACAAGCCCGAACCCCGGCGAAAGCGCTTGGTGTGAAACGCGACGCCCAGATCTTAGGGTCCTTCCTCGGCCGTTCCTGGGCCCGCTTCCTGCGAGTACCATCGGCACGTCGGGCGGCCGCTACTCCCTCATCTCCGAGCTTGATTGGCCCTCATCGCCGAGGCCTGGATGTATTGAGAACCACCGCCTGGGTGATCGATCTTCAGGGACCTCGGTAGGCGGTGGATATGGATAAATTTCCGCATTGCCTCCTCCTCTTCTTCTTCTTCTTCCTCCTCCTCCTCCTCCTCATCCTCCTTCCCCTTGTGGAGCAACGGGCGCTCCTCATCCCCCGTCCCCACTCCTCTCCCGTCCTTTCTCTTCTTTTTCTGGGCCCCCATTTCCTGCGAGTACCGTCGGCATGTCGGGCGGGTGCTACTCCCTCATCGGCATGCACATCGGGGACATCGCCCTGAACTGGCAAGAGAGGCGCCTTCGCACAGGAACGCGAGAGCGGGCGGCGTTGGTGCTCGTCCTCGTGCTCTTCCGCGTCTTCTTGGGACCGTCGTTCCACCCCCTAACGACCTAGCGATAGTGGGCGTGAGCTAGGGTGGAGGCGAAGGGAGGGCCAGTAACGTTGCGATTTGGGCCAGCGCCGTCTGGGAATGCCTAAGATTGGCTCATTCCCAGACGGCGCCAGCGCCCATCGTGTATCGACCATGGGGTTGGAGGGGGGGGGGGGGGGGGGCGGGCTGGTCACGCGCGTCATCCCGAGTGTTAAACAACCGGGCCCCAGGCATGCTCGCGTCGCTAAAATTAGCCTGGCGAAGAATCCAACCATATGCAGTTGTGAGTACCGCAATTGTGGGTATCGTCTTCCGTGGAGCTCCCTATGGGCGCAACCTGGAGACGCATGCGAACTGCGCAACCTGGAACCTTCGGTGGAGCTCCCTCTGCAGCCACGAAGCGCTGTACTGGATGGGGGAACGCATGCGTTGGGGGAACGCATGCGAGCTGCGCCGCTGAGACCTTCGGTGGAGCTCCCCCCTCTGGGGCCACGAAACGCTGTCCTGGGCGGGGGGGGACGCATGCGAACTGCGCAACCTGGGACCTTCGGTGGAACTTCCTTTGGGGCCACGAAGCGTTGTACCGGGCGTGGGAAGCGCATGCGAACTGCGCCACTGGGGCCTTCGGTGGAGCCCCCCCTGGGGCCACGAAGCGCTGTATTGGGCCGGGGGGGCGCATGCGAACTGCGCCACTGGGACCTTCGGTGGAGCTCCCTCTGGGTCCATGAAACGCTGTACTGGGTGGGGGGGATGCGTGCGAACTCCGCCACGGGGACCTTCGGTGAAGCTCTTTCTGGGGCCACGGAGCGCTGTAGTGCGTGGAGGGGGACGCATGCGAACTGCGCCACTGGGGCCTTCGGTGGAGCTCCCCCTGGGGCCACGAAGCGCTATACTGGATGGCGGGGGCGCATGCGCAGTTCGGGGCCACGAAACGTTGTATTGGGTGGGTCAGGGGGGGAAGCATGCGAACTGCGCTACCGGGACCTTTGTGGAGCTCCCTCTGGGTCCATGAAACGCTGTACTGGGTGGGTGTGGGTGCATGCGAACTCCGCCACTGGGACTTTCGGTGAAGCTCCCTCTGGGGCAACGGAACGCTGTAGTGGGTGGAAGGGGACGCATGCCAACTGCGCCACTGGGACCTTCGGTGGAGCTCCCTCTGGGGCCACGGAACACTGTCCTGGGCGAGGGGGGCGCATGCGATCTGCGCCAGTGGGACATTCGGTGGAGCTCCCTCTGTGCTCACGCAGCGCTGCACTGGGTGGGAGAGACGCATGCGAACTGATGATGATGGGAGATGAGAGGAGGAGGGAGGAGGAGAGGTGGAACGCGGGGCGCTGTCTCTTCAAAACGAGGACCCAACACCACGGGATGGTTGGAACAAAAACACAACGAGAGGTTTTGGACCGCTTTCGGGATCCCTGGGCCCTCGCTGGGCCCCAGGAGACTCAAAACACGACGCGGGATGAGACACCAGATTCTGAGTAAGGGTTGGGATTTTCGAAGACCCCGTATTGAAAAAATAAGGCGTCGCCTGTCTGGACCACTTTTTTTTGCTCCTCCTCCCCTCCTCGCCGCCCTCCTCCTCTCGATCCAGCGCCACAGGGGGGAACGTGGTGATACCAGTCGAGCGGGTAGCTCCCGAGGGGGTACTTGCCCGCTTGTGTGCCACTCTCGAGCAAAGGGTACCGTAACGAATGGGTGGTAGCAGTGAGGCGCCAGAGGGGCATGGTTGGGAGGACGAAGTAGTTGTCCCCGCGCAAGTGGCCGCGCACGTCCGCGCACGGGGATTCCCAAATACAGGTGGAGCTGGGTTCTCTGGTCGCACTTTCTGTGGTTGCCGTTTTTGTTGTTCTCGCGATCTGTGCTCACGAGGTCGGCTGGCGTTGGATATGGAGCGGGTGCAAGCGCTCGCTGCTCTTGGGTGGATGGCCCACGGGAGCTGCCGCCGGGCCAGGCCACGAAGGTGGGCGAAGCTGCTCCTGATCGCGTTCTTCTTCGCCTTCGACACTCTACAGGCGGAGAGAGTGTGAGACCCGCTGTGCGCGCCGATCTGGTCGTTGCTCCTCCATCCCCTGCTCCTCGCGCAGGCGAGGGAGGCAGAGGAAAGTTGAGGAGGGAAGGCCCAATCGTTGCGCACTGGAGGTTCTCAAGCAGGCAAGGGACGGAGGGGCCATATCGGAGGCCTGCTATGGCTCACGAGGCCGTCAGGGGAATCTTCGCGGTCGGTTGCGAGGATGTTGGGTGCATCTGAGAGCCGTCTTGGGCTGCCTGGCGGCCAGCTGTCTGGAGCTTGTGCAGGCCGTCTTGAGCTTGCTGACGGCCCCGTCTTGTGTGCGGCCGTCTTGAGTTGCCTTTTGCATGTTTTTGTGGGCTTGCGTGAGGCAGTCTTGTGCTGTCCAGCGTACGCTCCGTAAGGCCGGCTGGACCGCTTGGAGGCCCTCTGAAGCAGTTCGATGGCCATCCTGGGGCTTCCTGGAAGTAGTTCTGGGCCACGAAGGGCTAGTTCGCTGAGAAAAAATAGTGCAAGTCATACACGTCTCCCTCATTTCAAAGAACAAGAAAACTGCATAAACATAAACTGTTCATAGGTCCACGCGGATCTCGTGGATCGGAGTTGGACCCCCTTCTCTGGCGCGCGGACCGCGCCAGGGGCGGTGCCAGAGGCGCCGCCAGGTGGGGCCCAGCGCCGATAAAAGAAATCAGTGCTAAACTCCGCAAGTGTATGCGTATGCCGTGTTTCGCTCCTCTATCCTCCTCTTTCCTCCACGTTGTCCTTCTTCTCCTCCTCCTCCTCCTCCTCCTCCTCCTCCTCTTTGAAGTCCCCTCCCGTGCCGTGGCACAGAGCTTGGGCAGCGGGCCCTCGGTAGGAAGACACGCGACGCGAGCGGCCCCGAACTTGCAGAGTTCGGCGAGGTTTCGCCTGCTTTGCCTGTATTGTCGCATGCCGAATTGGGCGGCCTCCTCGGCTGGGTGTGAGCTCCTCCTCGGCCTGAGAGGGTGTGCTTTTTGGGGGGAGGCGAATTCGACTGCTAACACACTTCCAAGCAATCAGTTCCAAATGAAAGACGACCTCCGAACACCATCGTTTTTGCGTCGGAAACTGAGAATGACTTCCGAAATCATTCACGCTCTTGTTTGGATGTCAGATTCGACTTCCCAAAACACGCTGTGCATTTGAAGTTCGACTCCGATGGGCCAACTACGTTTTCTGTTGCGGCGTCTTGGGTCCAAGACGCGGTCGGGGCAGCCGAGGGACGCTTCGGGCCCAAATGAGGCACAGCAGGAGCAGGGCAGGCGCGGAAAAGGGAAAGGAAACCCTGGGCGGCGGAGCACGCTCAGACCGTCGACTTCTAGAGATTTGGTCGCAAATCTTAGGCGCCTGGTATACCCGCTGGATTCCGTCTCCAACGATGATTAGCGTCTGGTCGTCAGTGAGAGCGACAATTTAGCGCTGATTAGCGTCGGCTCGCGTCAATTTAGCGTCAATCTAGCGTCGATTTAGCGTCGACTAGCGTCGATTTGCATCAGTTCGCAAGAGCCAACAGGATGGTATGGGAGGCCCCCACGAGTTGCCACGGAAGAGAGAGACGCAGCCCTCCCAGGTCTCGTGAAAATCGGGACGGGCGCCCCATGACGCCCCGCCCCAGCCCACGCTGTCCCGCAGCCCGACGCCCCGCCGAGCGGAGGCGCTCTGCCGGGCGGCAGGGCCACCACGTTCCGTCGAGTTGTGGGAGACGGGGGTCGGTGCAAACGGTGTCAGTCAGAGCGCCAGAGTTTGCAGGATCCTGAGAAGTCAGGGTTGCATTGACCCAGACTAGGGCGCAGGACCGTGCAGGGTCCAGCAGCCTGCAGGATCCTGCAAAGCCTGACTGACCCGGGTTTCCATGGACCCCGGTTAGTAGAAGCCCGATCCCGTCCGGCGGCGACGTTCCGCGCCCTCCGCCCGCAAAGGAACCTTTGACGGCCTAAAGTCAGTGGCACTGTTACCTGGGGATAAAGGCCCAGGGAGGTGGGGGATGCATCGACCCCCAAATCGCCCACAGATCGCCGCTAGGGGCCCGATGGTCCTCCCCGCCCAGGAGCGTCCGGGTTCGCTGTCGGGGGCCTATCGGCGGCGATGTATCGCTGATTCTAGCTCGACGTTTCCCCCCTGGGCCAGTTCCCCCTAACATTCCCGTTCAACTTTCGATTTCAAGCCCAGAGCTTGTCTGGCAGGCTCGCCATGCAAATTTTCGGGCACCCCGCCTCTTCGGACAGGCCTGTCCCTGAGATCCACGAGTTGAATTTTTCGAGCAACGGGAATTCTCGCCTGGCTTTCAGGCCCCAGGACCATCACAGATCGATCCCGCTCGAACAATGGCGCCGAAAGAAGGGGTCTACGGCTCTGGTCGTGATTTTTCGCGGTGTTGCCAAATCATCGCGATGTCGAATATCGGGTGAGCAATAATCACTTACGGCCTTCCGTCTTGCCAGCACGCCCGCTGGAGCAAAGAGGGGAGGGAATGGACCATTAACGCTTGGTCTGGTGTGCTCCGGGGGACCAAAGAATGCCCCAGATCGCCCAAGAAGGGCTTAAGAGTTCCCGTCGAGATTGCTACGACGGGGCAAAGACGGCCCAAGATGGCGGCGACAAACTCCCCTGACCGTCCCAGGGGGCCAGAAGACGACCCCCCAGTAGGCCCTGCAGTGGCCAACCACAGTGATTTCCCTGTAGAATCGTAATGCGATTTGGTGCTCTCGCCCTCAGAGCCCCCAAGACGGCCCAAAACAATCCCAAACTCGCCCCAACATGGCCCGCAACGCGCTCTGGAGGGCCCCAAGAGGGGCCCAAGACGGCCCAAGACCCAAGAGAGGCGTCTTGACAGCAGGCGCGTGCAGTGCAGTTGAGACTGCGATCGCCTCCCTTTTACAGCAGAGGCTGATGTAGCAAGACAGCCATCCAGACAACATTGGGTAGATTATGCTCCGGCCTGTGTTGGAAGAACCCTCCAGTTGTTCTTAAACTGCTTCCCGACAGAGGGATACGAGCTGAGCTTGCCACCGGCGGGGATTGACGGGGCGTGCGGGCGTCTTGATTGTGGGCGCGTGCGGTGCAGTAGAGATTCGGTGATCTAGGTGCACCCAGAGTCGTGGGCGATGGTTGCCCTGCTGAGGCTGATGTAGCAAGACAGCCATCCAGACAAAGTTGGGAATCTAGTGCATATATAACGGCCAAAGAGAGGCCCATGATGGAACAAGATGGCCCCAGGACGTCCTAAGAGGGCTCCCGGCACAGCACGCGGCATTCGGGCGGCTGTCAAGACGGATGACATTATAGAAACATGGGCCCGCACAATGGGCCGGAGAGTACAGAATGAAGTCCGTCGCCACGGTGCTATAATACAGGAGGCCATAACTTGGCTGCAGGACAAGTATCCCAACCCTGGTACCGATCTTCAGGACAGGGAAGATGGCCTTTACCGCACTGCTAGCGGCCTATATGGTGTCGCTGCAGCTACTGCGGCCAGAAGCATATTGCAGTTTATGAACAGTAGGGACAATGACCCTGAACACGACGGCGCAGCCGAGATCGTGTGGCCACGTGTACCTGCCGGACCAAAGGCGAGACCTTTGTCTCGCACGCCATCTCTTCGACCTGGCATCTCAGATGCTCAGGCGTCTGGGGAGGCGATCGGTTCCCCACGTTCTGTCGCCGGCTCAGCCGTGCCGACCAAAGACGCTGACCTACAAGATCCCGACCCGAGGGATCGGTCGGATTTCCAACGCGCGCGCGATGCAGCCATGGATGATGCCTCTGCCGCGGCCGCCGATGATGCCGCTAGCCTTGTGCTGCCCGCGGCGGCGGACGCTGCCTCAGGCGCTGCCTCGGATGCTGCCAGCAGCGCCGCAGGATACCGCCCCACATGCGACCCCAACCAGTCCTACCCGACCCACGTGAACGGAATCCTCGTCGGATACCACCTCCATCGGGACAGGATCACGTGGCTCAATGACGACGATTGGTACAATTTGCCTTACTGGACCTGGCTATCGAAGTGGGAGCATAATCATCATTTTCCGCCGAGAGAGGCGGCACAGGTTGGAAATAACGACACAGAGAGAGGGCGTTCTCGCACGCCACGTGGTACGGAAGGATATCCGGGAGGATCGGCGACTTCAAACCCGCCGCCTCCGGCGCCGCCAAGGCGAGAGAGTCCACCGAACCCGTGGGAGGACCTCAACTGAGTGCGGCCCGCGCGACTCCGTCCGCGGCATGCGCACATCAAGTACTTTACCCACCCGCTAAACGTGATGGGCGCGGACATCTCTACTACTGGTCGGCTAAGCCGGACCAGCGGAGAGAAACTGATTATATCTTCTATAGTGGGAAACGTCGAGCCTCTTCGGCCCTTGGCCCCCTGGCAGCCACCGTTGAGCCGTAGAAGGTTTTTTGGGGTTGGCTCCGGTGGTTGTACAATATGCACAGGCTGGGGGTGCTGTGGCTAGATGGGCTCTACGCGGCCCGCCGCGGGGGGAGTAAATATGCTCCTCTCCGCCTAATACTCAATTAGAAGATAACTTAGACTGCATGCATCGAACTGTCCGCGTGTACTGACGCTGCATCTCTGCAGCTGTGTTACTGCTCAAACCAGCCGAACTCGCCTGGCAGGACAGAAAAGGAGCGCGCTGGGGGGCGCGGGCGATCTGTCGTCGTCCGTCCTCGGCCTTCCTCCTCCCTTCCTATTCCTGATCGAGTGGTTTAGCTTAACGGATATCTGTCTTATCAATGTCTCATCTCGCCTCCGCTCTCCCTGAGCATAGTGAACATGAGATCTTATGTCCTTTGTCATCTTACTCCGATTCTCAGAGGAAAGACTATCGCTCTATCTGTTTATCTTTCTCTATATGTATATATGCATGGCTTGGACTACCGCTATAGTTTTCCATGTATATGTGTGTATGTGTGTCTCCCTCTCTGCCGATACATGCTTGTATGTATATATGCCTGCATGTGGTTGCAATGTAAAAGTGCAAACACGTGTGTGTGTGGTGTGTGTGTGCGTGTGTGTGTGTTTGTGTGTGTGTGTTTGTGTGTGTGTGTGTGCGTGCGCGTGCCTTTCTCCCTCTTTCTCTCTTTCTCCTCTCCTCTCATCCTCCTTTTCTCTCTCTCTCTCTCTATTTTCTTTTTCTTTTTCTCTCTCTCTCTCTCTCTCTCTCTCTCTCCTCACCCGTCCATCCCCGCCCGTCCGCCTATCCGAACCCCCGTCCCCTCTCAGGCCTCCCTCAGTTTCTTCCCTACTGCCCCCTCCCCTAAACCCTGCTTCGGCACGGATCAATATTGCGCCTCGTCTCCGACGTCGTCGGCGCCGTTGTGGAGGTGGTACGGGCTGCTCTGCTCGGGGCTGCTTTCCGTTACGCAGTGAATACCGCCACCATTGCGCCCTCCCTCTCTCTGCCCCACCCCTTCTCTGGGGGGCGCAAACTTTGCGCCCACACCTTTACAGCCCGGACCGACCCTGTGCCGAGCACAGGCCCAGCCCAGCCTCGGCCACTGCAGGTGCCTAGGCGACCCCAATCCAGCTGCCGCCGCTGCTGTGCCTCTACCGCCCGCGCCCTCTTCACAGACCTACGTCCTGTCCAGCGGCGAGGGCGTCAGCCACGCCGCGCACTTCGGCGGCTTCGTCGCAGGCGCCCGCTGCCCCGAAAAGGGGAGCCCGAAGCGGCCTCGGGAACAGGAGCAGGCACCGCCGAGCAGCGGCATTGCTACTCGTGCCGGGCTGGCTCCCCTCACTGGCTGGCGCCGGTGGAGCGGCGCAGGCAGGCAGTACCTCTCCTTCTCTTTCCTTCGTTGCTCCTACGCGCGCGTGCTGGCAGGACGAAGGACCATAGCCATTTTGACTCAGGCCAGTCTGAAGAGGCGACATGGCCGTCGAAAGCTCAACCAGGGCGCTTGAAGCACGAGCTATCCCCAGCACAGGCTTGAGGTCGTCTTCTGTTGGATTGTGGGTGCCGGCCCCGCTCGGGAGCCGACGGCACTGCGAGAGCAGGGGCAGGGCGGAGGGGGGCGGGCAGGAGGGCAGGCGCTGCCGGCTGCGAGTGCGCGCTTCCCCCGCTGCCCCCGGCCGCGCCGGGGAGCCTTCACGGGTGCAGCTGCAGGTTCCACGCGCAAGCACGGGGTGGAGGGGCGCCGAGCACAGCCCTGGTCGTCGGCGTGAGGGTGGCAGGAGCCGGGCTGGAGCAGCAGGGGGGGTGATGCGCCGAGTTTTCACCACCAGTTCCATCGGTGGAAGAGGGAGGAGGAGGAGGAGGAGGAGGAGGAGGAGGAGGAGGAGGAGGAGGAGACGATACGATACGATACGAAAGCATTGCGATAGCTTCGAGTCTGCCTTGCCTCGTCGTCGCTATCTATGCAAGCCGTGAAAGCTTTAACAAAACACTCCGCCTCCAGCGCACCTGGCTGGCGAGAACGTCGCTCGGGCTCTAAGGGCACCCTACAAAGCACAGCAGTGCCGACAGGGGCCCCCGTCGAGCACCTCCAGTTACGTACATATGGGTTCACGCGCCGCCGACCAGCACCCGGCAGGGCGGACAACATGTATGGATACGAACAGTTGTATTTGCGTATCCTTGCTCTGCGCGGCCCGGCCGAGTAGACGTCACCGCCGAACGGCCGTGACCGTTTAGAATGCCACCACAGTTGCTTCAACCTAGTGTTAGATTCCTACTCTCGTCCTCGACGACCCCCTTTAAAGCCTTTGGGAGGTCGTGCGGACGCATACCCTTTTCCCTTCCCACCCGTGCCCCCCCGCCCCCGCCCCCTTCCCTTGCTCTGCCCCTCCCCTGGCGGTTTCACAGTAATTATGTACAAAAGCGTCTGCCGCCCACTCGGGAGAAGGCACGAGGCGGCCCGAGGCCACAAGCTCCGAGCAATCGCCCAGCTTCCCGCTCGAGTGAGCCCCGAGGAGCGGGGCCGATCACCCTCTCCGCCCCGACCTCCGTCAGGGCCACGATCAGCAGCTCCTGCACGTCCATGGCCTTCGGAACGGTCCTGTCGATGTGGACTTGCAGGCGCACCTTGCCCTCCATCTTCTTCGCGACTGTCCCCTTGGGCTTCCGGACGCGGAAGTACGGCACCATCTCTGCTATCTCCTCGCGGCTGGACCCTTTGAAGACCTCGTTCCACACCTTCTGGGCCTTCCCCTTGTGCTGCTCCCCGATGTTTTTGGGCATGGTCAGAAAGACTCCCATGAGCACCACCAGGAAAGGCGGGCCGAGCTTGGACATGTCGACCTGCGGATCCGACTCTTTCTGTTCGCGCAGCGCCTCCACCTGCTCGTGGTAGTGCTTCCCCGCCAGGATCGCCGCCTGCGCGACGAAGCTCTGCTCCGGGAGGATGTAGGTGCGAAAAGTCGATGCCGTGAGGTCGGCGAGCTCCCGCGCGTTCATGAGCACCAGACTCCCGAGGATGAGCACGAGTGCCTGGAGAGTGTCCGTGTTGCCCTTCTGGCTCCCCTTGGCCAGCTTGTTCGCCTCGGAAGCGAGCGCCTTGGCCGATCCTTGGCCTTCGTCGGCCGCGGAGAGGAGGAGGAGGATAACGTCCCCATCCTCCCTTCTCACCCGTCCTACCTATGGTAGTCGTGGTGGGAAGCCAGCCCATCATGGAGGCTCAGAAGCAGGACGGAGGGCGGTGCAGCGCTGGGGGTGACGCCGCGCCAGGGGCAGCCGCGCCTGGCCGTGGAAGCTTTGGCCACCCGCCAGCAGGTCGACGTCACTCCTCCCATCACCTCGCGGTCTTGCGAGGCGTCATGTCTTGTGAGGTGATGTGTGCGTGTGTCGCGGATCCCGGCGGAGTTTGATGATGATCGGCCGACCCAGCTACACTACCCTTCCCGCAGCATAGTGCCACGTAGTCAGAGCGAGGGAGCTGAACGGTCTTTCTTTGTCCCTGCGCGCGCGTGGTTGGAAGGGGATGGGGAGCGCTCGGAAGGCGTGTTACCCCTCTGCCTCCCTCCTTCTCCCCCTCCTGCCTCCGCGTGACGAGGCGGCCCACCGGGCGAAGGATGAAGCCCAACGTGGCCCCGTTTGGCCCCCGTGTATGCAGCTAACAGCTAACCTGGCTGGAGCGTCCGTGCTTAGTGGGTCCCAAGAGCCCTGGGTCCTAGCTACGCTTTGCTGGGGTGGTGCGCGAGACCTCTTGTGGGATGCACCTGTCGCACCCCTCCTCCCCCCGCGCGCGCGGCGGAGGGGGCCAAGGCGGAGGGGCAGCGAGCGGTGGCGCAGCAGCAGAGTCAGGATGATGATGAGGAGGAGGAGGAGGACAGCGCTGGAGCTTATCTACCCCTTCTACTCCTACTTCCATGGTCACAGGTATCCCTTCTCCTTCTTGTTCCCCTCTCGCCTGCTCAACGGCGGGATGGGGTCGAGGGCGCCACCGCTCATCAGGAGAACCGTCCCCATCACCACCGAGGAGGAGTAGGAGGAGGAGGAGGAGGAGGAGGAGAAGTGACAGCATCAGGGGAAGGTGGAGCATAGGGTAACGTATGAACGGGGGGGATCAACAGGCGGGAACAGTGAAAGGGTGCACGGGAGAGCGGGAGAGAGCATAGCATCTACACCTGGTGCTACTGTAGACCGCGTGCATGTCAGCTCTGGCATCCAGCATGTTCTGTAGCCGTTACTAAGCCAGAGCGGGAGAGAGCATAGCATCTACACCTGGTGCTACTGTAGACCGCGTGCATGTCAGCTCTGGCATTCAGCATGTTGTGTAGCCGTTACGGCTGAGATAGGCCGAGGAGCTCGGCCGAATTGTCGACAGATCGAGAGGGAGAGAGAGCGCGAGGAGTCCAACAGATCGGCAGCGATGGCGATGGTGACGACCTTCATCCAGTGTGCTGCCCGGCCGTTCGGCCACCCCAGAGAGGAGGAGAAGAGCACCAGCTGTCATTCGACTCTGGTAGCGGAGCCGGTGGGCTTCGCAGGGTCGGCTGCGTTGCTGGCCGGGTCTGTGCATGACGGCAATGGGGACGAGTTGAGCTCAAGGCGTTTTACCTGCTGCGCGACTACCGCTCCATGTGCAAGGACGGGGTGCTCATCCTCGGTGAGGCTTTCGGCGAGTTCGACCGCTGGCAAGATCGGGCTGATGTTCGGTCTCCTCGGCTTCCTGATCAATGATGTGGGCGCTGCGGAGCCCGCAGGCCTCAGGTCCATGACCCCGCTGCGCGGCCAGCGCATCGGCGAGTCGCGGCTGCCGGCGCCCTGGGGCCAGCAGCACGACCAGGGCGTGCAGGGCCTGCCCGCGGCGGAGCTGGCCCAGCAGAGCACGTCCAAGGTTCCACCGTTCTGGGCGCCGTACCTCGAGCAGCGTGGCTATCCGTTCCGGCTGTGGGTCCAGGACGTGACGCTGTGGTGCGCGGCGACGGAGCTGCAGCCGCAGCAACGAGGCCCTGCGATCGTGCAGCGGCTCGGCGGCACGGCCCGGTACCTCTGCCGCGAGGTGCCGCTCGAAGCCATCGCGATGGGCCGGTTCGACCAGTTGGGCAACCAGATCGAAGACGGAGTGCAGATGCTGATCGCGGGCCTGCGACGGCGCTTCGGTCCGCTGGATGTCCTGACGTTCATCAGCACGATCGTCGAGCTGCTCAACTTCCGCAGGCAGGAGCGGGAGAGCGTCGACGACGCGATCACTCGCCTCGAGGCGCTGCGCGCACGCGTGGCGCAGCTGGACGACCCGTTCGCGATGCCGACGCCGGTGCTCGCCCTGCCCTTCCTGGAGGCCGTGCACGTGCCCAAGGCGGTGTACCCCCTGGTGCTACAGGGCAACAACGGCCAGCTGCCCACGACGATTGACCAGCTGAACGCGTTGATCGGAATGGTGCGGCAGCAGGGCCACTTCGCAGAACACACGCATGCCGGGCCACAGAACCTGACCGAGGGCTACCGCGGCAAGGGTAATCATGGTCAGCACTGGTTTACTGATGAGAGCACAGGCGGCGCATCTACTTGGAAGGACACGGCCGCCTACATGTACGGGCAGAATGCAGACCGTGCGTCTAGGAGCGCCAGCCCGTCATCGCAGCACTACGTGGTCCGAGACGACGAGGGCTACGAGTGCGGCGCTGTGTGCTCAAGCTATTTGTACGAGGACGAGCCTGGCGACGAGGACTCGATGACTGACGACGACGACCTGGACGTTTCCGAGTTCACACAGGAGGAGCTCCAGGAGTACTACGGCGACGCCGAGCGCTGGGACTACGACACCTTGCTGCACGAGTATCTGTTCGCCAAGCGCAGGTTCCGCCACATCGTCCAGCGCAACAGCCGCCGTGCACGCTTCCCTCGCAGCAGCTGGTCCCTGCGCGTGAGCAGCGGCAGGGGCGACCCCAGGAAGGGCGGCAGCAGCTTTGGACGAGGGCGGGGACATGGCAAGGGCTATCACTGCGGAGGATCGGCGGTGACCCCTGGATCGCTGGCGGGCGGCAAGGGCAAGAGGAACAGAGGAGGGGAGCATTTCATGTCAGGCACGCCCGGCGCCGCCAATCCCCGAGGAAGTGACGGCCGCGCTATGCAGCGCCACGAATACGGCTCGGAGACCCACCTCGTGGCGGCTTGCCCCAAGCGCAAGGGCAAGAGCAAGGGCAAGCACCTCATGTCCTGCAACACCGGCAGCTCAGGGACGGGGCCGCAGCAGTCTGGCACTGCCGCCTCTGACGCGATGATGTCCGCGTACGCGCCCGCGCCAGCGCAGCCGCGGACTGGAGCCCTGTCTGGAGTACTGCATTGGTTCACTGAGGACGTGCGGACGCCCAGCCTGCAGATCGACGACCTCGACGAGGTCAGCATCCGCGGGGCCCTGGACTGGGAGACCCTCGACATGCGCGACAACATCGCCGAGCACGACATGTTGTCGGATATCCAGGCCAGCGTGGAGGACACTTTCGTGGAGGAGCGGCCTGCAACCGGCCAGAGCCTGATCCCGGGCGGGGTTGCTCCTAGAGCCCTCCCGGTGCCTGGGCGACCGGCGTCTACGACAGCCGCGAGCGCCAGCCCAGAATGGTCCCCATGGTGGCGAGTTGACCAGCTCGAGGACGCCAGTGGGGAGAACTACCTGGTACGTGCCCGTATGCAGAACCGGAGCGGCGAGGCCTTGCTGGTGGACCCGGGGGCCCAGGTAACCTTACTGGCGACGAGTGGGGCAACAGGATGGCCGAGAGACAGCCGCGAGCAGGAATTCCACCGCCAGTTCGCACGCCCCTCGACAAGGTTCTTGAGGTTGGCCGCGCGGGCTCGGGATCCCAGCAGGCAACGCACTCTCATCGCTATCAAGTGGCACTGCAGGGAGGCAGGAGGGCAGGACGCGACTTACGAGGCGCCGGTGCTCCCGAACAGCAGCGCGCCGGCACTACTTGGGCGGGAGGCGCTGCGGGACCAGCGCATACTGCTTGATTGCTTCAATAATCGGATGTACCGCATAGGCCCGGGCGGCAACTCCCTGCAGCTGAGTCCAGGCTCGGCGCAGTACCACCTGGAGGAGAGCCACGCCGGCCACCTCATGCTGCCTTGTGACCTCTATGACGAATCGACGGCGTCGAGGAGCTCGGGATCTACGAGAACGATGGCGTTGGCGACTTCGATTGCGTCTGGTTCGACAGTCCTGTCAGCAGCTACCTCACCTACTCCTGCATCTACCAGTACAGCGAGCAAGAAGGCCACGGCTCCGACACCACCACCAGGCAGCGGCGCTGCTTCGAGCAGCGCCAGCGGGCTCCCCGATGCGGGCAGCCTGCACCTCTGATCGAAGACGCCCCATATCCGTGCTCGGGGCGGCGGGGGCACCAGGGAAATATGGGGGAGACCGCCGTCGGCATGGGTGTTCGGCGACTTGCAGAACCTGTGCCAAAACGCGCTGCACGGATGCGGATATGCGGTGGATCGCGATTGCGACGTTCACCGAGTCCTCGGGCAGGAGGACCGGTGGGCGGAGCCCCTGCGCCACCAGCAGCCGGAGCACGTCTGGATCAGCCTGGCTCAGCTGGGTGCCGCGCGAGGCACCCGCAACGACAAGCGTGCCAAGCGCTTCGAGTGCAGGATCGCGCGAGCCCAGCTGGAAAGACACCGCTGCTGCGTCGTCGAGGCGGACGAGGGCAGCGCGGCGTGGGGCATGCCCGACATTCTTGAGCTGATTGACTACAGACGGTGGTGCACAGGACGGCTACGATGGAACAATCTTGGTGTGCGTGACGCTCGAGGACTACCAGCAGCGCAGACCGCTCGCGTCATCAGCAGCGGCTACTTTGATGACAACGATGCGAAGTGCCGCTGCGGTTGGCAAGCAGGTCGACATGTGGCGCGGAGGACAGCTGCAGATCGGCCAGACTTCAAGCAAGGCCAGAGGGGCATCTGCCTTGGTCAAGCGGATGGCGGCCACTGGGTGCTTCGACGGCGGCGCAAGATCCGACGCAGTCGACGGATCGTCGTCATCTGCAACAGCCACGCCACGCCGCGAGGCCAGGGGTGATTCCCGACCCGGGTCGTTAAGAGCAGATCCGACGATTGCCGGGCCGGGATCACGGACGGCGGCCTTGGAAGAAGCCGACGAGGAGCAGTCGCGACGTGAGCAACGTCGCCCAGGCCGAGTTTCGTTCGCCGACGACGTCGACGACACCGGTTGCAAGGTGAGCGCCTTGACCGCAAGCTCCCCCATCGATCAGAGGACGCGCGACAAGGCGCGCAAGGCAGCAGACCCAGAGCGCAAGGCGAAGAAGAGGCCGCAGACGGTGGAGCAGGTCTTCGACGATTGCGGCTCCGACTTCGCGCAGCTCCACGTGGCAAACGAGTATGAGCTGGATGAGGTCTGCTACGGGGTCGAGCTCAGGGAAGACCAGCACGTCGATGAGCAGCCGTGCGTCATGATGTCCGAGTTCTTTGGCATGGCCGGCTCGGAGGCGCACCTGAGCCAGAGACGAGCAGCAGAACTTCTTCAATGCAACCAACGACGTGGTAAAGTACATGGATCACTACTACGGCCACCTGCAGTACGACGACGTCACGGAGTTATGCGGTGGCGCATCTGGGACGACACGGCTACTCGTACGGCGAGGATACCGAGGTGGCCCCAACTTCGACTTCATTTGCCACTGTGGCCTGATGACGCACGAGGGACAGAGTCAACTTTGGGAGTAGTTGCACAAGTGTAAGCCTCTTGTTCTGCTTATCAGCACGCCCTGCGCGAGCTTGAGGGGGTTTTCGGCGCTCAACAGGGTCAACAACTACAGTGGCTGGCTTCGCAGTCGTAGGACATCCGCGGGGTTGGCTCGCATCGCCGCGGCAGCGGCGTGCACGCAGATGGACGCCGGCCGCCACTCTGTTTCGGAGCAGCCACTGGGCAGTGACTTTTACAAGCTCGACGATTGGCGATACATCGCCAACGACTATGCGGTGGCGTGGTGCCAAGTCGACCAGTGCATGGCCGGCAAGATCGGGATACGAACGGGACTACCGATCAAGAAGTCCCCCGAGTTCTGGGCTTCTGACGAGCACCTGATTGCGGGACTCAGGAAATTTCGGTGCGACGGCCAGCACGAGCATGCCCTGCTGGCCCATGGCGGCCGAGGACCCCACCCGGAGCCGGACAAGTGGCGCCTGGAGAATCCCAAGGATGACGCGGAGTGGGGCATCGGCATCTGTCGGGAGCTGGCCATGAGCATTTCCCACGCGGTGGAGCGCGTGAGGCGACGGGGGCATCACCTCGTCGTATTCGAGTGCTACCCCTCGGTTGCGGTGCAATCTGGCCGTGCTGGCTCCTGCAGCATCATCAGCACCAGCAGCTTCAGCCGCAGCATCATCATCAGGGGCAGCAGCAGCTTCAGCCGCAGCATCATCATCTGGGGCAGCAGCAGCTTCAGCCGCAGCATCATCAGGGGCAGCAGCAGCAGCTGCAGCACAAGCAGCAGCAGCAGCCTCGACACCAGCAGCGACATCGGCAGCATCAGCCGCGGCAGCCCCGGCTGCTGCGCCACAATGTCCTGGATGTCGGCATCGTCGGCCGGCGGACCACGCATCCCATGATTCAGGAGAGACATGCAAGCATAGGCTGAAGACGCGTGACCTAAAATGACCGGCGTGCCGGAGTGGGCGCGCGGTCTCAGACACACGACATGTGACATACCCGAATACCTGTAGAGCGCCGAGCAGACGGTGTTCTTCCAAGAGCAGTTGGACCTCGAGAGCTGCGGCCGCGGCAACCGCCAGCCGCCGAGGAGCCGACGGTGAATCAAGCACCGAGCGCCGCTCGAGCCGACGCGCCAGATGCCGAGCCAGAACCACCACCGCCTCCACCTGCTCAGGCAGAACGGCGACCTCGAGGAGCTCGAGCAGATGGTCCGCGACCTCGATCGCGACTGGCAGCAGCACTGGATGGAGCAGAGCCGGCCGAGACATCAGGCGGCGCCTCAGGATCCGCGGACGCCGTCGGTGAGGCACCCGGCGAGGCGCAACCTGCGGCAGCTCCAGCCGGACGAGCTCAAGGTGTGGATGCGGGGACGCAGGCTCGAGCCAGTGACGAGCCGGGCTGGGCCGCTTTCGACCTTGGGCATGCACTGCGGCTGCTTCACAGCCCACATCAGGAAGTCGTTAGGCGCCAACTTCGACGACTTCATGTTCGCTTCTGGCACGCTCCAGCTGCGCGCCTCAGAGAGCTACTGACCAAGGCCGGAGCTCCTGCGTCCACGCTGGCCATGGCGAAGGAAATCTGTGATGCGTGCCGGGTGTGCAGATTATGGACGAGACCAGGGCCGAAGAGCATGGCGCTCTCGCGGCTCGCGACGGGCTTCACTGTGATGGTGCAGTGGGGCACCCTCTACATCGGCGAGCCCATGGTGGCCCATATGATTGAAGCGACACGCTGGACAGTACTGTACATCCTGGACCGCAAGACGGCAATCATGATCATCGCCGGCATCACCGGCGGCTGGATACGACCTCATGGCCCCATGAAGCTGTTGATTTCCGACATCGAGGGCGGTCTCCACGGCGAGGAGGCGCCCCAGTGGCTGGATCGCTGGGGCATCGAGATGAAGGCCAAGGATGAGGGCTCGCACGCACAGCTGGTGAAACGCCATCACGACCTGACGCGCAAGTTCATCCACCGCGCGCGAGGCCAGCTTGCGGAAGAGGGCATTGTGATGCCGCTGGAGATTGTGATCGCGGAGTGTGCCCTCATCAAGAATCTCCTCATCACCGTGGTCGTCTTCAGTCCCTACCAGGCGGTGCACGGCCGACTTCCACCATTGCTCGCGGAGTTTGAACCGGTGAGCGATTGTCAGATTGACGATCAGTCGGCTGGCATCCCAGGTATTTCACGACACCATCATCGGCTTCGCGAAGTGGCAATGCAAGCCATGGTGGAGATGACTGCGAAGGACAGGCTGCGGCGTGCTCTCGATCCAAGATGCGTGCTCCTCAAGAGGCGCTGCAGCTGGCCGTAGGCGATCAGGTTGACTTCCACCGGCCGCCGAGCACGAAGGAGGAGTCTGGGTGGCGTTGACCGGTAACCCTGCTGCAGGTCGGGCCTCCAGTGATCGTTCGATGGCAAGGCCGAGCATTTCAAGTACGACCTCAGGACCTTCGACGAAGCCTCGTGTATTTCGTCATGTTCACGAACAACATCTTCTTCGAGGCCGGATCGCGCGACCCGGTGTCCACCATCACGAGCTACGCAGACCAGCTGGACAGCAAGGTCGTGCGCGTCGGGTGGCTCTTCGACGCCGGGTGGAAGCGCACCGCGGACAGCGGGAAGCTCAGCGAGTTGGTCTTGGCCGTGCTTCATGTTGCAGCCAGTGGTTTCTACCTAGTGGGCTGCGTCCGTGCTCGAGTGGGCAATGGCGTATCCGTGCTCGAAGGAATGGTCGGGTGTGACCACAGCTTCCTGTGGTGGTGGCGACGCGGTCATCCGGAGTTGTCCTGGTACCATGAAGCGTCGAGATCCGCCCGACTGAAGTTGGTGCAGATTTTCGGCAAAGACCACTGGCGGGATATTAGCTTTGTGCAGTTCATCATGACCGACGACGAGTCTGTTCGAGAACTTCGGCGACATGAGCCCGAAATACCACACCTAGGAGATCCATGGTTCGGCAATCTTCCGCACGCGCGGCGATATGAGCAGCCAGAACGACCCGAACCTGGACCGTTTCAGGACCCGCCGGGCCTGCAGCAGGAGGACTTCGACGTGCCCTGGCAAGACCGGCCGATCCCCGACACGAGTATATCGAGTGTATCCAGACAGACGAGTGCATCGATGCCGGCGCCCGACACGAGCATCCAGGCCGACGAGTGCAATATCGAATTCTACGAGGAGTCGGAGCGACCGAAGGCAACCTCGACCACGAGAGTCTTCTCCTGCTCCAGCCGTCGCCAACGACGTCGTGCCGCCGGCAAGGTCAAGCAGAGGAGCTCGAGAAAGATCGCGATCGCGGGATGACCCAGACCGCGACCGTGGAGCTCGGGGCTCAAGTGGGGCAGCAGCGGAAGCTGGAGTACCTGATCCACTGCATGAGCCGGTGCTTCCTATCAAAGGAGATGACGGCGAAGACGACGACGGTGACTCGGACAGTGACGCGACACAGGAGTACGCGTTCGCCAGCTGGCAGTGCATGAAGGAGCAGGCCGCCCTGCCCGCGGTTGACACCGAGTGCACCCAGAACGACTTCTTCGTCGCAGCCCCGGACGCAGATCACGTGACGGAGGCCGCGGAGGACGACTCTGTGAATTCCCGACCCGACTGCGTCGAGATCGGCATGGGCGCTCCGTTGATGTACTGGGTGTACCTTGAGGCAGAGCATGTTCGACGCCCTGGATCGGGTGAGATCTACGTTCTTCGCATCTACAACACGGGCCAGCGCGAGATCGTTGTCGAACGTGAGATGAATGTGCTCACGCTGGGGGAAGCCCGAGCGCACGAAGTGGAAGTGCGACAGGCTATGAAGGATGAGCTCCAGCGCTGGGCGGGCTTGAAAGTATTCCAGCGCTTCCCGAAGGATCAGGCGGACAACGTCATCGACTCGCGCTGGGTGCACAAGTGGAAGGAGATCGACGGCAAGAAGCAGGTGCGCGCGAGACTCACGGTGAGGGGCTTCAAGGACATGCAGTCCCCGGAGCTATCAACGTTCGCGGGCACGACGACACGATGGGGACAACGACTGGTGAATCAGGTGACGGCACAGCGCAAGTGGCGACTATTCTCAGCGGACATTAGCCAAGCGTTCCTGCGCGGCCTCACTTTCGAGCAGGTCGCCGCCATGGGCGGCGAGGTGAAGCGGAAGGCGCAGTTCACTATGTCGCCAGGATCGATTCCGGTTCTCCGGCAACTGGAAGGCCACGAGGACTACAACCCTGTGACAGAGGTGTTGTTGCTCCTTCGCTGCGGGCCCGGCCTCGCAGACGCGCCGAGGATGTGGCAGGTCATGCTGAAGCAGGTGCTGGAGAAGACCGGTGGCAAGGCGCTCATCAGCGACCCGCAGATCTACGTGTGCCACGACGCAAAGGGCGAGCTTCAGATGATCATGTCCTCGCACGTGGACGACCTGAAGGGCGGCGGCGAGGACCACCTGCGGGAAAAAGGTGCTGAGCATGATCGAGGGCGAGTTCGGGAAGATGAAGCACCAGTACGACCGCTTCGAGTGCATCGTCACCATGCACGAGCAGGACCCGGTGACAAAGGCCATCTGGACGCACCAGCAGCATTACGTTCAGCAGCTGCGACCACTCCAGGCGGATCAGTACGCGATGGAGAACGAAGACGGGCAAGTGAGCGCGGAGAGCCACGCGGCGTATATGTCGCTTCTTGGCGGAATAGCATGGATGACGCAGACGATGGCACCACTTGCAGTATATGTAAGCTACCTCCAGCGACAGGCCAAGAAGCCGACCGTCGGAGACCTCAGGAAGATCAGCCGGCTGCTGACATGGATTATGGCGAACGTGAAGCAGCTCGGGGTTCGGTTCGTTGAGTTGGAGATGACCCGTCCGGCTTGCCGTCATCAGCGACTCAGCCTTCCACGCCATGGAGTTCGAAGGACTGGCGATCCGAGGCTGCGTGATCATGTTGCTGGAGACCAGTGGTGAAGTGCCTCAGACGGGATCGACTTACCGAATCGTGATAGTGGGTTGGTATAGTCGCAAGCGGAGCAACGTGGTCATGTCTACGTGCGCGGCGGAGCTGATGGCGCTGTTCGACGCGCTTGGCACGGGCACTCTCATGAACGTGGCGCTGACCGAGGTTAGCGAGGGTGTGCACACGGCGAACCAGATGCGCGTGCGACAGGAGGCTGGCGACCTGATGTTGAAGACGATCGCCGCCATCGACGCGAAGGCAGTGTTTGATGCCATCTCCACCGACACCATCAAGATCACCACGGACAAGCGGATGTTCGTGCCGACGCTCGCGGCACGGGAGCAGATCGACCGACTACAGCTGGCTCAGCTCAGTTGGATCGACACGATGGACATGTTGGCGGACGGGCTGACGAAAGGCGAGATCGACCAGACTGCACTCGCGAGGCTGGGCTGCAACAGCGAGTGGCGTCTGAGTGGACTGCAGCCAGTTGCCTTTTCTGTGCGCAGCGTGCTGTAGCGCCGCGCAGAGCGCGAGAATTCCCGACCAGAGTGAAAGGGTGCACGGGAGAGCGGGAGAGAGCATGGCATCTACACCTGGTGCTACTGTAGACCGCGTGCATGTCAGCTCTGGCGTCCAGCATGTTCTGTAGCCGTTCTAAGCCAGAGCGGGAGAGAACATAGCATCTACACCTGGTGCTACTGTAGACCGCGTGCATGTCAGCTCTAGCATCCAGAATGTTCTGTAGCCGTTGCGGCTGAGATAGGCCGAGGAGCTCGGCCGAATTGTCGACAGATCGAGAGAGAGAGCGCGAGGAACCCAACAGATCGGCAGCGATGGCGGTGGCGGCGACCTTCATCCAGTGTGCTGCCCGGCCGTTCGGCCACCCAGGAGAGGAGGAGAAGAGCACCAGCTGTCATTCGACTGGAACAGGCGCAGAAGAAGGAGGACCAACAGCCAGGAGCGTGCATCGAAGAATTTCACCAGGGACCTTTGGGGAGTCGCGGACCTAGCTGAAATGCTTGGGTGGGGCCGAGCAATGGGGATACAGGGGGTGTGCGCTCGAACCCCCGCGACTCGGCGGAACCTGAGGCCCACTCCTAGCCATCAGGCTTTACCAATGCACTGCGGAGTGCAGTTGAGCGCCCTGCCTACTACTGGCAGCCGTGCCTCGGTTTCTCTCTGTCTCTGTCTCTCTCTCTCTCTCTCTCTCTCTCCCTCTCTCATTCTCTCTCTCCAGAAGGGCGAGTGCAGGGTGGCCCGGTGCCAGGGTCACACCCCTTCGAGACGTGGCGGAATGGCCGGACGGACGGCAATGGTGGTCAATAGTCGTGGTAGGCAATGAGGATTGTACGAAAGTGGCTTAATCGGCTCCTAGGCTGACAACGCGGGCACAACGCGGGTCAAAAGTGGGCCTGTCTCTTGGCCCCCCGCTGATTGCCCTCCGTCAGCGAACACCCGGAACGGGCGGGGGAGAGGTGTTCACCCCGGCGGGACGGAGAGATTTCGATTGTCGAGGAACAAAAGCTACCATACAAATTAATTGCATGAGGTCCGCGCTGATTTCTTGGATCGGCGCGGGACCCCCCTGGCGGTTTCTCAGGCGCTGGAGCGCCGCCCCCGGCGCGCTCCGCGTGCCAGGGACGAGGGGGAGTCCAGCGCAGATCTCCCGAATCCGCATGAACTCTCGAAAGTATGTTTTGGCAGTTGTTTCCCCACATGCTGGGTGTGGTTCTTGTTTTCTCAGATTACCTTTTTCTTCCTTCGTTCTCTCCTCCTCCTCTTTCTCTCCAGGCAAACTACACATCCCCTTCTCTTGCAAGTCCACCTCGCTCCACCAGGCTCTCAGGTTTCGTGAACCCCCCGCGTTTGCAAAACCTCCCCGCTCTACGTACCAGGTGTCGTGCCCGCCCCACTCCACCAGCCTCGCCAGTGCCACCTCCAGGGAGACCCGCCAGACCAAGGCAGGCATCCAGAGACCATGTTGTTTATCCAGTTTCGTGCCCTCTCCACTCCACCAGCCTCGCCATTGCCACCTCCAGAAGGCTCGGCGAGATCCAGGCAGGCATCTGGATGCCCTGTTATTCATTACGTTTCGTGCGCTTCCCACTCCACCAACCTCGCCAGTGCCACCTCCAGGGAGGCTGGGCCAGACCGAGCAGGCATCTGTATACCGTGTTATTCCGAAGGTTTCGTGCCCTCCCTGCTCCTTTAGCCTCGCCAGTGCCACCTCCAGGGAGGCCCCGCCAGACCCAGGCAGACAACGGAACATAATGCAATTTACCCAGTTTCATTCCCTCCCCATTTCACCAGCCTCGCCAGTGCCCCGCCAGACCGCGGCGGGCATCGGGATACAGTGTTATTTATCGGGTGTCGCGCTCTCCTCACTCTACCAGCCTTGCCGTTGCCGCCTGGCCCTCCCGGGAGGCCCTGCCAGACCGCAGCAGCATCCGAACATTCTGTTCTACATCAGGTTTCGTGCCGTCCTCATTTCTCCAGCCTCACCAGTGCCACCTGGCTCTCCAGGTAGACGTCGGAGGAACGAGGAGGGGGAACGGAATGACAAGGAAATTGGTGCGTATGAGAAGTGACGCAGAGCTGGAGAAGCTGGAGAAGATATGACGATGTATGCGGCGTACGGACGAGGAGTACAGGAGTGCGGAAACGGTGGATGCTCAGTAGCAGGAGCTAGACGGACCAGTAGTTCAGAGAGCGGATGGGGCGTTGTTTCTAACGTTTTGGGCGTTCCATGTGTTGCTGCTGGTGCCATCCCGCGACCAATCGAAAACCCCAATGCGGATAACCTAGATCGCATACCTTGTTGTCTGGGTTGGTCGGGTGCGAGAGGGTGTACTTCTCCAGCATTGATGGGCTGTGCATGGGGTCGCGCATCGGCGCAACCCGTTTTCACCTACTGCTCGGGATTCTCGATCAGAGTCCTCCTGAATGTCGAGCTCCAGCCCTGATCATCATCCCCATGCGTGCCTGAGCAGTCCAGGCCTCATTGCGTGGGCTCTCTGCAAAGGACCACGTCCTCGGGGCGGGGGGGGGGCGGGGGGACGAGTGCGGCTTCAGGCGTCGAGGAGGGCCGAGACGGAGAGTGCAGTGATTTGCAGGCTGTGTGATCTGCGTCATCTTCGGTCACAACTCGAAGGTGCACGACTACGAGAGGTGCTGCTCTCGAAGAAGAAGAAGAAACGGCATAAGCAGAAATTTTCGGAGCTCCACGCCGATTTGTTTGATCTGCGCTGAACCCCCCTGGCGGCGCCTCCGGCGAAGCCCCTGGCGCGCTCCGCGCGCAAAGGAGGGAGGTCCAGCGAAGGTGGGAGAAATCTGCGCGGACCTCCGAAAGTTCATGTTTCTGCAGCTTGTTATTCCTTCATGCTCGCCTCTCTCCCATACCCTACCGTCCAGGGCAGGAAGGGGGCTGCGGGCAGAGATGGACAGAGGCAATCACTAGGACACCCCCTCCTCATCTCCCACCTGTCGACCCCACGATGCGAAAGAGTAGGAGCAGGCAGGGGGGGAGGGGGAGGATGATTTTCTAAAGTGGATGGTGATAATGAGGGGAGGTGGAAGAGAGCCAGTTTACGTAGGATAACGAGGCGACCAGAGGAGGACGGGGAGGAACAGCAAGTGGAGGAGTAGGAGGTCCGTGGACGAGGGAGGATTGAAAGGTACGGTTCGGGCGGGATCAGAGTAAGGGGGGCAGGGCAGGGGTGGACGTCAAGAGAAGAGCGGAAGGGCAAGGAAGACGGGCAGAGCAGCGAGACAGAGCAGGGCAGACTAGGACAGTATAGAAGAGTCATGCGAGGCTTGTTAGGACCACTTTATCTCTATGTATATACATCGGTATGTCTGTACATATACATAACTCTATTTATACATGGATACGTATGCATCCGCTTCGCCTCTCTTTACATAATCATGCATACACATACGTAGCACCCCGCAGTTGCGGATAAGAGTGAGGGAGCGGGCGCGGGCGACGCGGGCGTCGTCGAGCCGGCGGACCTCGTGGCCCCCACCTTCCCTGTCGATGGAGCGCTCCTCTTTCTCCTCCTCCTCCTCCTCCTCCTCCTCTTCCTCCTCTTCCTCGTCCTCGTCCTCGTCCTCATCGTCATCGTCATCCTCCTCCTCTTCCACTTCGTCCTCCTCCTCCTCCTCCTCTTCTTCCTCGTCCTCCGTCTCCCCCCCTCGTCTTTTCATCATCGTCCTCCCATTGTCGTCCTCCCCCATCATCGGCCTCCATCATCGTCCTCCCATTGTCGTCCATCATCATCATCCTCCCCCTCCTCCCCCTCCTCGTCCCCCTCCTCCCCCTCCTCCCCCTCCTTCCCCTCCTCGTCCTCCTGCTCCTCCTCCTCCTCCTCCTCCTCCTCCTCTTCTTTCTCCACATTCTCCTTACATCCTCTCTTCTTCCGCGTCATCCTCGTCCCCTGTTTACTCCTCCTGCCTCCCCCTCCTTTCCCAAGATAACTGCAACGCAATCCTTTTTCCACTTTATGCTCCCCGACTTCTCTGATCAAGGCAACTCGCCAGGGCAAAGTTACTGGACGGGCTGGTGTGGATGCGCGGGGCTTGAAGAGGTCCTTGCGGGTTCAGACGGCATGCAAAAATCCGCCGCTGCGCTTGTGCGGCATTGGTTTGTTCAGTGAACGTGGTTTGGGTCGCGGGTGGGTCGCGGGCTCTCCACCTCCACCTGGAAGGAATGCAAAAGCAGCCCGCCGCAGGCGCCAACCAAAATTGGCTTGTACACTGAACGTGGTTTGGGTCGCGGGTGGGCCGCGGGTTCTCCACCGGGAACGAATGCAAAAGATGCCCGCCGCAGGCGCCGACAAATTTGGTTTGTACCCTGAACGTGGTCGCGGGTGGGCCGCGGGCTCTCCACCTGAAACGAATGCAAAAGATGCCCGCCGCAGGCGCCGAAAAATGTGATTTGTACCCTGAACTTGGTTTGGGTCGCGGGTTGGTCGCGAATTGGTCACGGGGTGGGTCGCGGGCTCTCCACCTGGAAGGAATGCAAAAAAAGCTCGCCGCAGGCGCCGGAAATTGTGGTTTGTACCTTGAACGTGGTTTGGGTCGATGGTGGGTCGCGGGTGGGTCGCGGGGTGGGTCGCGGGTGCGTCGCGGGTGGGTCGCGGGTGGGTCGTGGGTGGGTCGCGGGTGGGTCGCGGGGTGGGCCGCGGGCGGTCGCGGGGTGGGTCGCGGGGTGGGTCGCGGGGTGGGTCGCGGGGTGGGTCGCGGGGTGGGTCGCGGGGTGGGTCGCGGGGTGGGTCGCGGGTGGGTCGCGGGTGGGTCGCGGGTGGGTCGCGGGGTGGGTCGCGGGTTGGGTCGCGGGTGGGTCGCGGAGCGGGTTGCGGGTGGGACGACGACAACAAACAACAACAACAACAAACAACAACAACAAGAATCCGCACCGCGGAATTCCACTTCAGCCACGCACCCAGGGACAGTGAATGACCGTTCGGCCCCCTCACTCTGATATATACATATATATATGTATATGTATAAATATATGCATACGTATCGTTGCAAGGCTGCGCGATCTCATTATCATAGATGCTGTGGGGTGCATAGTACCTACATGTGTAAATGTGTATGCATGCATGCATGCATGCATGCATGCACGTATGTATGTATGTGCGTATGTATGCAGATATGAAATGTATGTATGTGTTTTTATGTACACACACATCCACCTCGCCTGCGGCAAACCCCTTCACCTTGCCTGTACAACAGTGCTGCAGGAAGAAGCCGTCACATGTGACATGCCTGACGTCGGTCACGTGCGCAAGCCGCCACATGTGACATGCCGGGCGTGGGTCGCACGCGACAGTTTTCACATGTGTCATGTCGGATGTTTGTCACACGCGGAAGCCGTTACATGTGACATGTCGGGCGTGGGTCACACGTGGAAGCCTTCACATGTGACATGTCGGGGGTGGGCATGTGACATGTCGGACGTGGATGGCACGCGGAAGCCGCCACATGTGACATGTCGGACGTTGGTCGCACACGGAAGCCGCCACATGTGACATGTCGGGCGTGGGCATGTGACATGTCGGGCGTGGGTCGCACGCGGAAGCCGCCACATGTGACTTGGCGGACGTTGATCACACGTGGCAGCCGTGATTGGGACGGGTCGCGATCCCGACCTCGTCTTCGTCCGCGCGTTAGGGCGGAGGAGGAGAAAGTGGAGAGGGAGGACATGAGGATGAGGAGGGTGTGAATGTGCGAGTTTAGTTGACATGCGTGTATCGTGCATTTGTGAATGAGCTCGCATGCCGATGGCGTTTCTTCCCAAATTGTCTGTGCGTTCAGGTGCACCTTTCGGCCTTTGGCACACCGGCTTTGTTAAGCCCTCGCTGCAGGTAAAACACATCACTCACATTGGTAGCCGGAGCCTGTGTGTTTCGGTCTGCGCTACGCTCACACTCTGCGCTGACTTTCGGCGCGCGCCATGGCGGCTCGCCTCTGGAGGTCCCCCGACCGTGGCCGTGCGGACAGGGCTCCGCCTCCTCAGAGGCAACACGACGACGACGACTTCGAGCAGCTCGACGAGGAGGAGGTGGAGGACTACGACGCGGCGCCCGAGACGCCCGGAGGAGGCGCCGACAGGGACGGCGGCGGCACGCGGGACAACCTGCCGATCCCGATCTTCGACGGGAGTGGTTCGCGGGATTTCTCGCGGCGCGTCGAGGCCTGGCAGCTGGCGACGTCCCTCAGGTCCGAGCGTCGCGGCCCAGCGCTCTACGCGAGGCTGCAGGACGACGCTTGGACCGCCGTCGAAGACATCGACATGCAGAGGCTCGCCGAGCCAGGAGGGCTCGAGTTTTTGATGCTCGAGCTCAAGGACCGCTTCGAGGAGCAGGAGATATTGCGACAAGGAGATGTGCTGCACGAGTTCTTTGTCCTGCTCAAGAGGCGGCCCCAGGAGCAGATACGTACATTCAAGAGGAGGTTCAACACTCTCGTGCATCGCCTGGCCAAGTTTGCCGTGACGCTGCCCGCGATCGTGCTCGGATGGTTCTTTCTGGAGAAGCTGCGGCTGCCGAGCGATCGACGTGCGATGGTGCTGGCCAGTGCGAACGTTGACTACGATTTCAAGGTGATGTCCGCGGCGGCCGAGAGAAATTGCCCCAACGTTGCTGAGTTCGACCGACCAGGCGGCCGCGGACGCGATCAGCCATTCAAGCCCAAGGTGTTTCAGAGGTTCGCCCCACGAGGTGGACGACATCGCGCCATGCACGCCGAGCCCGAGGACGACGAGGTGCAGGACCCAGTCCAGGACTACCTGCACGACCTTGATGAGGACGAGTACCAAGCCGTGGAGTCGTTCCTGGCGAACGGTGGAGACCCTACCGACCTCCCGGGCCTGGACGAGTTCGAGGACGACGCTGACGACCAGGAGCCCGGTGACGACCAGGAGGAGACCATGGCGGCGCTTGCGGAGGCGTACGTGGCAGGTTTTCGTGAGAGCAATAAGCGTTTCCAGCAGAAGGATATGCTTCGAATGAAGTTCACGAGTGCGAAGTTCAAAATGAAGGATTTCAAGAACCAGCGGGGATGCCCTCCGCCACCAGCACCGCATCAGGTTCAGCGAGACCCCAAGAGGCAGAAGGAGGTCGACGACTTGAAGAAGAATTTCGTCTGCAAGGCCTGCGACCAGCGAGGGCGCTGGAAGGGCGACCCGGAGCGCCCCAAGACCCGTGGAGGAGGACAGCCCTCGTCGGGAGCTCGCAGGCCGATGTTGGCTATCCATGACAGCGGCTGTGCGGAGGCGGAGCCGCACAGGGTTATGACAGCGACGAGTTCAAGGGCGACGGCGACGGCCAGGAGCACGCCCAAGCCTGCTGCCGAGAGGAAGCCGAACACCAGCGCGGGCTTCTACTCTTCCCTGGCCCACTCGTTCCCGGTGTTCATCTTCGCGTCTTTCGAGGAGTTGCGGAGGCGCGTCGGGTTCGCTTACTACGACAGCGGCTGCACCAGGTGCGTTATGGGCTACAACATGCTGAAGCTGTGGGCGGCGCTCTTGAGGCGTTGCACGCGTGGCCGACGAGAAGGAGTGGTTTCGGTTTGGAGCTGGCGACCCGGTCTGGAGCACCTTTGCAGCGCTGATCCCGATATGTATTTTCACATCGTATTTCAGGTATTCTGCGAGTCAGCATCGCGCCAGGCGACCTGCCGCTGCTCTTCTCGAGGCCAGCGGCGAAGCAGCTCGGGATTCGCGACGACCCGAGGACCAGCACCTTCAGTTTTCCAGAGGAGCTGGGCGTGCCACCCGTGCCGGTCACAGAAGCTGACTCCCAGCATCCGCTGCTCAGTCTGTTTCAGTTTCCAGCAGATGGCTGGGCGGCACCGCCAGGAGCAGTCTTGGACGAGACGGCGCCAGAGATTCAATATCATATTCAAGGTCATCATCACGATCGTCAGCCGTCTCATCACCAGGCTCAGCATCCAGAAGTGCCGGGCCAGGTCCAGGACATCAAGCAAACGCTCATGTTCTACAAAAACGAGCAGCAGCAGCACGAGATTGAGCAGCAATACGAAGCCCTGGAGCAGCAGCAGCATGTGAAAGCAGATCAGCATCGCCGAAACGGAGATCGAGCTTATCAAGATGCAGATCGAGCTTATCAAAATGCAGATCGAGCTTACCAAAATGCAGAGCGAACTTATCAAAACGGAGGTCGAGCCAGTCAAAATGCAGAGCATTATCAAAATGAGCAGCATGTAAACGTTCGAGATGGTCAAACGTGTACGTCGACTTCCGTAGCCCAAGGCTCAAATCAACTTATCAGGATGAGTCCAATTTCACGTTCCATATCAGTTGGGCCATTTACGGCTCATGCCGGGCCAGATTCAGAAGCGACCAGATCTTCGGCGGGCATGGTGGCGCTTCGCCCAGATCTTGATGAATGCGGCCCAGGCTCTCATGACACCCATGCGCGGCGTGATGATCAGCATGGGCCACCGGAAGCGCATCATCTCGAGGGTGACTCATGTGAGACCGACTCGGAAGGGGATCACTCAGATGACGAAGGCGGAGTTGCGCGCGGAGCTGCTGACCATCGGAGTGGACACCTCGGGGAGCGAGACGTGTGCGGCTCTACGGGGAAGCCTGCGAGCCGTACGACCGCCTGAGGAGGCAAGACACCAGAATGGGACCCCCAGGGCCAAGCTGGCGTCGGGATTCAGCAAGCTCAGGAAGCCCGAGGCCATCGCTTTCTGCCAGGCTGCAGGCGTCGCGATCGACGGGGCGGCGGACGCCCTGAAGCTCAGGATCAAGGCGTGGGCAGCAGCAGAAGGTCCGATACCTTCAAGCGCCGTCTCCGCGAAGTCCTTGCTGGGTTCGGCTACTCCTTCGAGAAGGTCCGTGCAGTCGAGCAGCGCAGGACCGCCCCCGGAGGCAACTCCAAGCACGCCTCCCATGGCGAGGGAGATCCAGGCCAAGGTCAAGAAGCGGGGTCCCCCGAGTACGTCATCTCACATGAGCCTGGACACCAAAGAAGACCACTTGGCGAGGATTCGAACAGCACCGACTCGGACAGCAGCGACGACTGCGGTCCGGGCGGTGGAAGTGGACTGGGACCCGGACCAGGACCTCACGAGAGTCGACGAGGAGAGCGACGAGTCCGAGCTGAGCGAGGCGGAGACCGAGTCGAGCGCGGCCGAGACCGACCAGGACAAGGAGCTGATGAACCACCTCGATCTCGGCTTCCAGCTGGTCAGGTGAAGCGGCCCCTGCGCCGCGGGATGAGCGTGCTCAGCGGGCTTCGCGGCGCTCTGGCTTCGTGGGCGCTGCCAGCTATGTGCCTCGCGGCGACCATCGGCGAGTCGGCTGGCCTCAACCTTGCCAGCTGCGCCAAGACTGCGGGGGAACACGCCACCAAAGAGGTACGCGTCGCGGTCGACGAGGACGGCGCCAAGATCAACTTCGTGGAGATCTGGGGTGGCAAGGCCGCGGCATCGCGCGAGGCCGCCCGTCGAGGTTTTCGTGTCGGCCAGCCGCTGGGCTGCCTGGTGCTCGAGCCGACCTGCAGGATCTGGAGCCACATGCAGAACCTCGTTTTCAAGGGAGACAAGCAGCGCCTGCGGCGGGCGCGGCTGAAGGAGCTGCCGACGCTGAAGCTAGTCGAGAAGCTCTTCGGGATGCCGTACGAGGACGGACGCATGGCTGCGCTGGAGCACCCGTGGCTGGGGCAGTCCTGGAACGAGGGCCCGTGGAAGAGGCGCAGACAACTGCCAGGCATGGTCGAGTTCCAGACTGACATGTGCGCGCACGGCCTCACCTGCCCTCAGACCGGGAAGGCAGCCAAGAAGCCTACGAGGATATTGGCGACTCACGCGCCTTTCGAGAAGCACTGCGGCCTGCGGTGCACAGAGGACCACGACCGCGCGGAGCTGAAAGGGGCATGGCAGCAAGGGCATCTCCTGGAGCCAGGTCTACACCAAGGACTTCAGTCGGCGTATCGTCGACGCGTTCGAGGAGGTGCTCAACCAGAGCTACCAGGCCATGGCGGCGGACGTCGACGACGAGGGCGACGAGGCACCCGAGGAGGAGCCCATGGGCTCCCGAGCGATCTCGTTCGGGGAAAAGGCAGGCATCCTGCCGCTGGAGGTTCGATCTCACCTTCGACGCCTTCACCAGAACCTCGGGCATCCCTTGAAGGACGACCTGGCCAGGAACCTGAGGCTCAACGGCGCGGACGACGCTCTCGTCCGCGGCGCCAAGCACCTGCGCTGTGCTACGTGCAACAGGACCAAGCCTTCTGCGGGATCTCATCGAGTTTCTCGCCTGTCGCCGGTCGGCGGCTTCAATGACGAGCTGGGCGTCGACGGCCTCTACCTTCGGAACGTGCGCGGGGCGCGGGAAGCCCTACCTATTCCTGTCGCTCGTCGAGGCCTCCACGACGTACCACGTCGCGCGCTACCTGAAGAGCCGGAAGCCAGCCACCGTGGCTAAGGTCTTCCGAGAGCTGTGGCCTGCTGGACCGCCTAGCGTGGTCAGGCTCGACCTGGACGGCATGTTCTACACCGAGTTCCAGGAGGCCATGGACATGATGGGGATCCGCGTCAGGGCCGTGGCAGGCCAGGCGCAGTGGCAGAACGGCCGCACTGAGCGGCATGGCGGCTGGCTCAAGCTCATGGTCAACCGCGTCGTCGAGCACAAGTCAGTCACGAGCCGCGGTGACCTTGAGACCGCCGTCTGGGAGACCTGCCAGGCCAAGAACGACATGCGTCGGATCTGCGGCTTTTCACCGTCGCAGTGGATGTACGGATGCTTGCCTACCACGTCTGCCGACCTGATCGATCGGCCTGGCCAGATTGCAGAGCACAGCATGCATCGCGTGTCCACGGAGCTCGCCAGGAGGATGGCTATCCGCACGGCTGCGCGGACGGCCTTCGTGGAGCTGCAGAATAGTCAGGCGCTCCGTCGAGCACTCTTGCGGAAGCCGAGGGTCACCCGCATCAACTACCAGAACGGCGACCTCGCGTTCTACTGGCGGCTGCGCAAGGGGACGGAGCTCCACGAGTGGCGAGGCCCAGCCGTCGTCATCGGCCCAGCGGGAGCGTCCAACTTCTGGCTCTCGCACGGCGCTGGGACCGTTCAAGTTTCTCACGAGCAGCTCCGACCCGCGGAGGATGAGGAGATCTGGTGGCCCGGTCAGGGCGACGATCCCAATATCGAGGAGCTGAACGAGCTCATCCGCCAGGTTGAGAAGGAAGACCAGCCAGAGTACGAAGACGACCGAGGGCGGGGACCGCGTGAAGCAGATGAGAAGGCCCAACCTCTGCAGCGGAGAGAAGGCCAGGACCTCGGGGACACCCTCGAGGAGCGAGCGAAAGAGCTGGAGCAGGAGATCGAGGAGATCGAGAGGGGCAAGCGCCCGGCTGACGCGGCCGAGCGCCTGGAGGACGAGCCGCCCCGCAAGCGGCAGGAGGCAGCTGCGCCATCGGGCCCCGCGCCATCGGCCCGCGCGGGGCCTCCAGCGTCGACAGCGACGCCCCCTCAGCCAGCTCTACCCGAACAAGGAGTTCCTTACACGAAGGAGGAGTTCAAGAAGCGCCGGGCGGCTTTACAAGCCCGGCAGAGCCAGGTGTTCCGGCCGTTCCCTGTCGGACCGCTTCAGCACCCAGGCGATCATCCAGAACAGCCCGTTCACTTCGCCAATTTCAGTTTCGGCCTGATCGCGAAGCGGAGCTGGAACACAACTAGGCTGCAACGTCGAGCGCTGGAAAAGGAGATGCCATGGAACATGATCCCAACCAGCGATCGCCCCCTCTATCGCCAGGCGGCCGAGTTGCAGTGGAAGCAGTGGGAGAACTACGACGCCGTCGAGCCGCTCTCAGTCGAGGAAAGTCGGAAGGTTCGTGAGCGAGTCCACCAGAGCCGCATCTTGACGTCGAGGTTCCTCTATCGGAACGAGAACGCTGGAGTCAAGGACGCGCCGCCCAAGCCGAAGGCTCGGCTGTGCTGTGGTGGCCACAGCGACCTGGACTTCACGATGGGGCCCAGGACCGACGCGCCGACCGTGTCGAGGCATTCGGTGCTCACCTTCCTGGCAGTGGCGGCGGCGTGCGATTTCGATATCGTGGCCGGCGACATCGAGTGTGCCTTCCTGCAGGGCGAAGAGCACGGGCGCGCCGAGGAGCTCTACATGTCTCAGCCCAAGGAGGGCCTGCCGAACATGGACCCTCGGTGCCTCCTGAAGGTCAAGAAGGGCATCTTCGGGCTTGCGGATGCGCCGCGGCTGTGGTGGCGACGTCTGCGTCGGGGTCTGGTCGAGGCGGACTTGAAGGACGAGGATGTCAAGCCCATCCTCATGATGCAGTCCCGGCTCGACCCGACGGTGTTCCGCGGCTTTAAGGAGGACGACAGGCTGTGTATCTTGGTCTGCGTACATGCTGACGATCTCCTCGTAGCTACGAAGTCGCAGGCCCTACGTCAGGGAGTTCGAGGTCTCTTCAACTTCGGCGAGTGGCGTCACGTGCCTGTGGTGTTCTGCGGGAAGCTGCTGCAGGCGGACCCAGAAGGAGGCTTCCGCTGGACCAGTCGACCTTCATCGAGGGCAGGCTCGAGCCGATCGAGATCGACAAGGCCCGGAAGCGTGATCCGAGCCTGGAGTGTAATGCCCGCGAGGTCGCGGACAATCGCAGTGCAGTCGGCAGTTTGGGATGGCCAGCTCGAGAGACGAGACCCGACCTGTCATGTACTGTATCTATGGCACAGCGCAAGCAGAATGCCCCCTGCATCCAAGACCTGCTGGACGTCAACAAGGCCATCGGAGTGCTGCAGAGCTCGGCCAGCGAGAAGTTTCACATCCCCAAGCTTGACGTGGAGTCCCCGTGGTGCCTGATAGTCTACCACGATGCTGCATGGGGAAACGCCCTCACCGAGGACGAGGCCCTACGTCGGATCGCTCAAGGGGAGATGGTCCACTCGCAGGCAGGGTACCTGGTCTATCTGTGCGAGCGTGCAGTTGCTGAAGGACGCCCGGGCAAGGCGATCCTTGTGGACTGGAGAAGCCACACGCTGCCGCGCGTGGCTCGGAGTACATTCGCTGCCGAGACTCAGAGTTGCACCGAGGCGTTTGACTCAGCAGAGTTTGTGCGCGCTGTGATTCTCGAGATGATGCATGCCGACCTGGACGTGACCAGCCGTGAGATGCTAGCCAACATTCGTATGCTCCCGATCACGCGCGCGACGGATTGCAAGTCGCTGTATGACACCCTCCGGCGAGATGCCGGTAAGCTCCCGCAGGAGAAGCGCCTGATCATGGATCTGGCTTGGTTGCGTGAGGCAATGCAGCTGGAGGCTGCCGTGGACCCCCGCGAGAGCATGAACGTGGCAGATGTGCCGATGCGATGGGTCCCCACAGCCTACATGTTGGCCGACCTTCTCACTAAGACGATGGATCTGACAGGCCAGTTCTGTCGCCTGGTCTCGGGTTCGCTGCGCATCCCGAGGAACCTACCAGGCCCGGACGAGGGCCAGTGAACTGTTTTTTTTTGGCGCCTGACCGCCGAGCAAGCGCGTTCGCATTTTCATGTTTTTCGTATCCTGTGGTATTTTATTTACGCCTGACGGCGCCAATTCCCAACCCTCCTTGGTTGGGTATTCGTTTTGAATAGAGCAGTGTGGTCTCCATTCCTTCCTCCTCCTCCTCCCTCCCTCCCTGCCTCTTCCTGTCTTGCCTGCGGGGCGCTGCGATCTGTGAAACTGTCGCCATTTTCGAGGCCTGCTGGGGGACCCAGCGCAGTGAGGGCCACGCGCGGATTCAAACTAGACCTCGTCATCCCTGGGGGGCTGCGATCTGTGAAACTGCCACCATTTTCGAGGCCTGCTGGGGGGCCCAGCACAGTGAGGGCCACGCGCGGATTCAAATTAGACCTCGCCGTCCCTGGGGGGCTGCGATCTGTGAAACTGTCGCCACTTTCGAGGCCATCCCTGGGGGGGGTGCGACCTGTGAAACTGTCACCATTTTCGAGGCCTGCTGGGGGGCCCAGCACAGTGAGGGCCACGCGCGGATTCAAACTAGACCTCGCCATCCTTGGGGGGGCTGCGATCTGTGAAAATGTCGCCTTTTCCGAAGCCTGCCGGGGGGCCCAGCACAGCGAGGGCCACGCGCGGATTCAAATTAGACCTCGCCATCTCTGGGGGGGCTGCGATCTGTGAAACTGTCGCCACTTTCGAGGCCTGCTGGGGGGCCCTGCACGGTGACGTCACGGCGCTGGCGCCCAAGGCTGGGGGGCGCACCTGGCGCGCACCTGGCGCGCTGGGCGCACCTGACGCACCTGGCGCACGTGGCGCACCTGGCGCGCACCTGGCGCACCTGACGCGCCTGGCGCACCTGGCGCACCTGTCGCACCTGTCGCACCTGGCGCACCTGGCTCACACGTGGCGCACCTGGCGCATCTGGCGCGCACTGGCGCGCAACTGGCGAGCACCTGGCGCGCACCTGGCGCGCTGGGCGCACCTGGCGCACCTGACGCGCTGGGCGCACCTGGCGCGTACCTGGCGCACCTTGCGCGCTGGGCGCACCTGACGCACCTGACGCACCTGCCGCACCTGGCGCACCTGGCGCACCTGGCGCGCCTGGCGCGCCTGGTGCATCTGGCGCACCTGGCGCACCTGGCGCGAACCTGGCGCACACCTGGCGCATCCGGCGCACCTGGCGCGCTGGGCGCACCTGGCGCACCTGCCAGACCTAACGCAGACCCGGCGCACCTGGCGCGCCTGTCGCATCTGGCGCACCTGGCGCACATGGCGCACCTGGCTAACTTGGCGCGCCTGGCGCAACTGGCGCGCCTGGCACACCTGGCGCAACTGGCGCACCTGGCGCACCTGGCGCGCACCTGGCGCACACGTGGCGCACACCTGGCGCAACTGGCGCACCTGGCGCCCGCCTGGCGCGCACCTGGCGCGCACCTGGCGCGCACCTGACGCACCTGGCGCACCTGGCGCACGTGGCGCGCTGGGGGCACCTGGCGCGCACCTGGTGCACCTGGCGCGCTGGACGCACCTGGCGCACCTGGCACACCTGGCGCACCTGGCGCGCCTGGCGCGCATGGCGCAACTGGCGCGCCTGGCGCAAGCGGCGCACCTGACGCACCTGGCGCGCCTGGCGCGCACCTGGCGCACACCTGGCTCACCTGGCGCACCTTGCGCATCTGGCGCACCTGGCGCACCTGGCGCACCTGGCGCACCTGGCGCACCTGGCGCACCTGGCGCGCCAGGCGCACCTGGCGCACACCTGGCGCACACCTGGCGCACCTGGCTCACTTGGCGCGCCTGGCGCACCTGGCGCACCTGGCGCGCCTGGCGCGCCTGGCGCGCACCTGGCGCACCCGGCGCACCTGGCGCACCTGGCGCACCTGGCACACCTGGCGCACCTGGCGCACCTGGCGCGCTAGGCGCACCTGGCGCACACCTGGCGCACACCTGGCGCACATGGCGCACACCTGGCGCACACCTGGCGCACACCTGGCTCACACTTGGCGCACCTGGCGCATCTGGCGCACCTGGCGCGCCTGGCGCGCCTGGCGCACCTGACGCACTTGGCGCACCTGGCGCACCTGGCGCACCTAGCGCACCCGGCACACCTGGCGCGCCTGGCGCGCTGGGGTCACCTGGCGCGCATGGGCTTTTGGGAGGCGGACCTGAGCGGGACCTCGCCGTCCCTGGGGGGCTGCGATCCGCGAAACTGTCGTCATTATCGAGGGTTGCTTGTGGGTCATGCGGGGTGAGGCACCGCGCGGGCCTGAGCGGGACCTCGCCGTCCCTGGAGGGCTGCGATCTGCGAAATTGTCGCCACTTTCGAGGGCTGCTGGTGGGTCCTGCGGGGTGAGGCACCGCGCGGGCCTGAGCGGGACCTCGCCGTCCCTGGGGGGCTGCGATCTGCGAAATTGTCGCCACTTTCGAGGGCTGCGGGTGGGTCCTGCGGAGCGAGGCACCGCGCGGACCTGAGCGGGACCTCGCCGACCCTGGGGGCTGCGATCTGCGAAATTGTCGCCGCTTTCTCCTGCGGGGCGAGGCACCGCGCGGGCCTGAGCGGGACCTCGCCGTCCCTGGGGGGCTGCGATCTGCGAAATTGTCGCCGCTTTCGAGGGCTGCTGGTGGGTCCTGCGGAGCGCGCAGACCTGAGCGGGACCTCGCCGCCCTGGGGGGCTGCGATCTGCGAAATTGTCGCCACTTTCGAGGGCTGCTGGTGGGTCCTGCGGAGCGAGGCACCGCGCGGATCTGAGCGGGACCTCGCCGTCCCTGGGGGGCTGCGATCTGCGAAATTGCCGCCAGTTTCGAAGGGTGCTGGTGGTTCCTGCGGAATTAGGCACCGCGCGGGCCTGAGCGGGACCTCGCCGTCCCTGGGGGGCTGCGATTTGCGAAGCCGTCGCTACTTTCGAGGGCTGCCGGTGGGTCCTGCGGAGTGAGGCACCGCGCGGACCTGAGCGGGACCTCGCCGTGCTGCGATATGAGATCCCGGCTTTCGAAGTGGCTAGGGTTGCTCAGGGCTTGTAACTAGTCAGCTTTATCTAGTCATTGTCCTGTAGCCAGTGTCCTGCGAGTCTCCCGAATTCCGTCTGCAGACATATGTAACCCTCGCTCCGTCATCGCCCCCTTTTATAAAGTGCCCTAAACTATTTGCACCCCGCGTTAGCGCAGGGGTTGGGCACGTCGCCAGGGTAATAACCAGATAATCCGTGCGATCGTGTTCCGGTCAATTTTGGGAACAAGATTTTAAGATCAGTGTGGATGTGCGAGCTTAGTTTACATGCGTGTATCGTGCACGTGTGTATGCGCTCGCATGCCGATGGCGTTTCTTCCCAAATTGTCTGTGCGTTCAGGTGCACCTTTCGGCCTTTGGCACAACGGCTTTGTTAAACCCTCGCTGCAGGTAGAACGCACCACTCACAGAGGGGAAGGTTTCTTGGGGCGTTCTTGAGGCCTCCTGAAAGTTTATTTCTCGGGGGGAGCATGGGGGCCTCATGGAGCCTCTTTGGGCCACTTTGGGCCTCTTTGGGCCTCTTCGGCCGTCTCGCGGGACTATTGGTCCGTCTGACGCTCATGGAGGCCGCCTTGAGGGCCTGTCTCTAGGCCCTGCTGGTGCCCTCATGGAGCGGTTCACGGCCGTCCTGGGGCCCTCTTCGGAGCCCTTTGGGCGATTATTGAACCTTTTGGGGTCGACGTGAGGCCTTCTTGGGGGTCTCTTGGGTTGTCTTGGAGCTATATTTGGGGCCTCTTGGAGGCTTCCTAGGCTGTCTTGGGCGGTCGGAAACCCGAACAGGCGAGAAACTGTCACCGTTTCAAAACCTCAGGACAATCAGCGGCTTTGACCTTCTCGTGCTCTCCAGGAGGGCATCTTGGAGACCTCTTGGGCCGTCGTAAGAATTTCTTGATTGTTCTGGAGGCTGTCGTGGCAGCCTCTTGATCCGTCTTGGGTCATATTGAACCATCTGGGTGCCAGCATGGCTGCTTTGACAGCCGTCCTGGAGGCCACGAGACCCCCAATAATACTTCAGGACGACGGCGCAATCCATCTCCACGAGGCCATCCGGGAGAACCCGGGGAGGCCACCACAACTGTTTGTCTTTAGGTTGCTGCAGGTTTGGGGGGTTCTGACATGTTTGGGTTTCTGGTCGCCCAAGGCGGCCCACGAGGCCTCTCTCACCGTGTCGTTGTCGTCGTTCCGAGAGCTTCAAAGCCGTCTCGGGGCCCTCTTGGGGGCCTTTGAGGCGATACCTGGGTCCTCTTGAGCCGATTTGGGGCCCTTTTGGGCGCATCTCAGGCTGCCTTGGAGAACTTGCGGAGGCCGCTTGGGGGCCGTCTTGGGCGGTCCTAAACCCGAACAGGCGAGAACACCAACATCTTTCGGAAACCTGAGAAACATCAGCGGCTGTGGCACTACTTCTGCGACGACGACGACGACGACGATTCTTATTATTAATACTAACGCTACTATTTGAGCTGCTACTGGTACCACTAGTTCGACTATTACTGCTACTACTACTTATGCCATTAGGCTTCTTCCACTACTACTATTGTTTATGATACCATTGCTACTTTCACAACGATTGCTACTACTACGATTAGTACTACCACTACTGCAACCACTACCACTACCACTCCTACTATGATCTTTTATGTTTATTAGTACTACTACTACTACTACTACTACTACTACTACTACTACTACTACTTCTACTGCTACTACTACTACTACTACTACTACTAGTACTACTACTACTACTACTACTACTACTACTACTACTACTACTACTACTACTACTACTACGGCGACTAGTACTATTACTACGACTACTACTACTACTACTACTGCTACTACTAGTACTACTACTACTACTACTACTACTACTACTACTACTACTACTACTACTCTATTACTATTACTACTACTACTACTACCACCAGTACTACGAAAACTATTACTACTACTATTACTACTACTACTACTACTACTACTACAACTAATAGCACTACTA